AGAAATGTAGAGTAACCACTCCCTTGCCCTTCGATCCTATTTAAATCAGAAGTTGCTGCGGTTTGTTTGAAGAAATCAGACCTTTCATATAGCAAAGCTGATTCTTTCAGGAGAATGATCCTACTTTAATGGGCAGAGTGAAAAAAAGTGATGCACGAGAAATGCAGAGCTTTTATCAGCATTACTACAAAAAGTATATCCAAGCTTTACAAAATGCTGCAGACAAAGCTGATCGGTGAGTTTAATTTCTCATAACTAATTCCTTTTCTTGGTTGAAGGTTGGGCAACATTTTTGGAAAAAGCTCAGTTTTCAGCTTGCAGAAGCACATATGAAGCAGCTATATTTATCCCTTCTAAAGTTTTAAAAGCTGTTATTCTTTAATACATGACTTGCAAAAATGTACAGCGCACAGCTCACAAAAGCATACCAAACAGCTAATGTTCTGTTTGAGGTTTTGAAAGCAGTCAATCAGACCCAAGCCGTGGAAGTTGATCGTGAGGTAGATAGACCTGTTGTTTTGCAGTGGATTCAAAAAAACTTTTCATGTGCTTTTTCTTTCATGTTTGTTTCTTGCACTTTAACTTGTTATTTGTTTTTCTGTTGTTTTGTTTTTCTTTCTTTCTTTTTTTTTTTGTGTGTGTGTGTGTGTATGTTTAGGTATTAGAAACCCATGATAAAGTTGCAGAGAAGACAGAGATTTATGTCCCTTATAACATTCTACCTCTTGATCCTGATAGTGCCAATCAGGCAATCATGAAATACCCGGAGGTTTACACCGAACTTGACTTGTCAACTTTAATATCCGATCTTTGTTGTTCTGTATCTTTTATTTCCTGATTTACCTTTTAACTTTTTATTATCTAATATTTTTCAGATTCAAGCAGCTGTACATGCGCTTCGTAACACTAGAGGTCTTCCATGGCCTAAGGATTACAAAAACAAGAAGGATGAAGATATCCTTGACTGGCTTCAATCTATGTTTGGTTTTCAGGTGAGATATGTTTTGGCACTGTTCTTCCTTTCATTAAATGACGAAACTATAAATAACTTGAAATAACTCTTGTATTAATTTGCAGAAAGATAATGTGGCAAATCAAAGGGAACATTTGATTTTGCTGCTTGCTAATGTACACATACGGCAGTTTCCAAAGCCTGATCAACAACCTAAGGTTTCAATACTGAATTCTTTTCACCTTCCAGAGGCATTTGAATTACATTACTATATCTGTAGATGCCATTGATCTTTCTAAAGAATTTGAGGAGCAGTCTGATACTAAAAAAAGTTTAATTTGGTTCTGTTGACTTGTTTTACCACCCATTGTGATTTTATTTTCCAGAAAAACACATATACTCCACATATTTTCACTTACATTTCCTTGAGAAGACTTATTGACCCACATTTTTTAAAAAATCTTTTAGTTGGATGAGCGTTCTCTAGATGAAGTTATGAAGAAGCTTTTCAAGAACTATAAGAAATGGTGCAAGTATCTGGATCGTAAAAGTAGCCTGTGGTAAGTAATTAGATTAAAAGTATTGGGAATAACAGTTTTGTACTTCGTTTTTTAATACAAATCTTGTAATCTTGTAATTCATGAAATTTCTGACCTACATATTAGATCATATATCTTTGTTGCTGGAGTGGGAACATTGTCTTTATTATTCACTTGTGATATATTTCTAATTGCAGGTTACCCACTATACAACAGGAAGTGCAACAGCGAAAATTGTTATATATGGGTCTTTATCTTCTTATATGGGGTGAAGCTGCAAATATAAGATTCATGCCAGAGTGCCTCTGCTATATCTATCATCATGTAAGCTTTCACATTTTTATACCTTTACGTGGAATTAAAGCTTATAGGTGCATTATTCATTGACCTCAAGCTTTGATATCAAGCTTTGTGAGAGCATCGAAATCTTGATTATTCATTGGACATCCTTTTATATGGGACTTGGGAGACAGACACATATGAACTGTTTATTGGTTTATAAGTTTTATGGGAGTTTTTCTATTTATACTGGCTTCTTTTTTCGTTGACTTTGTCGGATATTTGGAGATATCAGTAGTAATACTACAATACAACTGTGTAATAGTTGTAAATATTTATTTTTGTAGTTGCTTTATGTCTTCTGATGATCTGCATTGATTTTGACAGATTTGTTTTATCATTTTCTTTACATTTCACTGTGGAGTGATCTTTGCATTTTCTGTTCCTCAGAGGAAACAAGTCATTCTTTAATTGGATTCTGATAATAGTTTTTGAGCTTTTTCTTTCTTTCCTTTTTTTTTTCTTTACAGATGGCTTTTGAGCTTTATGGTATGCTCGCTGGAAATGTCAGCCCAATGACTGGTGAAAATGTGAAGCCAGCTTATGGAGGAGAAGAAGAGGCTTTCCTTAAAAAAGTAGTTACCCCAATTTATGAAGTGATTGCTCAGGTATACCCCATGTTATCTAAAAATCTTTTATTATTATTATTATTACTTTTTTGTATGTTGATACTCTTTTGTATTCATTTAACTCAAGTTGATCCTTTACTTTTCAGGAAGCTGCAAGGAGCAAACAAGGGAGATCAAAACACTCAGAGTGGAGAAATTATGATGATTTAAATGAGTACTTTTGGTAAAACAATGTATTTTATATGACAATATTTTTCCGTTATCTTAAAAAAGAGATGTTTTTACCCCTTGTGTCAGTATATTTATATTTCTCATTTGTTTTTTAATAAAAAATTTAGGTCTGTAAGTTGTTTTCGTTTGGGTTGGCCTATGCGTGCTGATGCTGATTTTTTCTGTAAGACTGTTGACCAGCTTAGGAGTGAAAGGGATGGAGTAAGCTCATGTCACTTCAGTCATTCCTCGTTTTGTTATAGTTGTAAATTAAAGTTAGAATATGTATTATATAAGATCCTTAGCATAGTTACCTTTTCTACTATAACCGAGTGTGATTTTTATGTGATGCAAAATAGGAAATAAGGCCTACTACACATAGGTGGGTGGGGAAAGCTAATTTCGTTGAGATCCGTTCATATTGGCATATATTTAGAAGCTTTGATAGGATGTGGAGTTTCTTCATACTTTGCTTGCAGGTGGGTGTTCTTTCTCACTTAACCTCAGTATTTGAGTAGCAATTACTTATATTCTTATTCTCAACATTGATAATTGGGATATGTTGTATGTTGTCAAGGCCATGATTATTGTTGCTTGGAATGGGTCTGGACAGCCGAGTGCAATTTTTGGTTCTGACGTTTTCAAGAAAGTACTGAGCATCTTTATAACTGCTGCAATTTTGAAACTTGGACAAGGTAATGCCAAAGTCTTATGATTTGTTGTTAGGAACTGCTACTTTTCCTGGGGTTCTTTGTTGTGTTATTTTTTGGATCTTTCGCAATGCCAAGACACACTTCTCCAATTGTCCCTATGATTTTATTGGCCCTTTCTTTATATATCCATTTCACATGTGCAACAATAACAATGCAGCCATTCTTGACTTAATCCTGAACTGGCAAGCTAGAAGGAGCATGTCTTTCCATGTCAAGTTACGATACATTCTGAAGGTTTTGGTGGCTGCTGCTTGGGTGGTCATTTTACCTGTTACCTATGCTTATTCATGGAAAGGTAGTCCACCTGGTTTTCTTCAAACTATTAAAACCTGGTTCGGGCATAGCTCGAGTGCCCCCTCTTTGTTCATCCTGGCCGTTGTTATCTACCTCTCCCCAAATTTACTTGCCGCCATCTTGTTTCTTTTCCCCTTTATCCGCCGTTTTCTCGAGAGCTCCAATTACAAGATAGTGATGCTAATGATGTGGTGGTCCCAGGTGTGCAGTGGTTTTTNTATGTAGTGATCGATAAGAATTTTGGTTTAGTAATTTGTTGTTTATTTTTTTCAGCCTCGTCTGTATGTAGGAAGGGGAATGCATGAGAGTGCATTTTGTCTCTTCAAGTAAGCTATCAAGGTCAAAGTTTTTGTTTAATCATCTTTTGAGAGATAGTGTTGATATTATTTCCTTTTAAATTCTCAGATACACGTTATTCTGGGTGCTTCTCCTCATTACGAAGTTGGCTTTCAGTTTCTACATAGAGGTGTGCCGGTCTTTCCCATTTTATTTATTATCTTTTCTAACCTATTTCGTGTTGCTTACAATTATGAATTATATTTGCTATATTTATTTCAGTTTGATATTTAAAGAGTCTGCTAGTTTTCCCAGAACATCATTCTTTATTATATGTAGTAAAATCCTTGTACAATTTTGATGCATGTATTTTTTTTTTTTAATATATCTATATATACTACATGGTAAATGACTAAATTTGAAGTGATCATGAGCATGTGGTATTTTTAACTGGTCAAATGTTTCAACTGGCAGATAAAGCCTTTGGTTGGCCCAACGAGAACCATCATGGATGCTCATGTAACAAGTTACCATTGGCATGAGTTTTTTCCTCAAGGTATTTGATCATCATATAAGATAATTGGCACTATCTTTACCTACTATCTATTGATTGTAATAATTTATTTATTATTATTATTTGTGGCAGCTAAGAACAACATCGGTGTCGTGGTTGTAATCTGGGCACCAGTTATATTAGTAAGGATGAAGTCGTATCTTCAATAAAGTTGCATTCAATTTTCTTCATTTAATTAGAGAAAACTGTTGTCTAATTTTTCTTTTCTGTTTTAGGTCTACTTCATGGATGCACAAATCTGGTATGCTATATTCTCTACATTGTTTGGAGGTGTATATGGCGCTTTTCGTCGGCTTGGAGAGGTCAACTTAATTCCCTTTATTGTATTAAACATGATAAATGGCTGTTTCATTTTATTAGTTATTATGGCGGAGTTTTGGTGATGACTGCTTGAACAGGATTCTATCACGAAGTAATGTCTACATGATTTCTTTATATGGCAAAAGATAACTGATGTCTATGGGGTTAACTTTTTATGCTATCTTTGTTTTTGTCAATCTTCTCAGATTAGAACACTGGGAATGCTTAGGTCAAGATTTCAGTCATTACCTGGTGCTTTTAATGCATGCTTAATTCCAGAGGAGAAAAACGAGACGGTAAAAAAGAAAGGACTGAAGGCTATATTTGCACGCAAGTTTGAAGTGGTAACCTCTTTTTTTTATAGCTCCTCCTCTTCCTCCTATATAATTCCAATTTTCTAATGTATAGATTATTGAGTATTGCATGAACATAAGTGAGACTGATAGTTCGCTGTGACATCTTGCCCAGATTCCATCAAGTAAAGAGAAAGAGGCTGCAAGATTTTCTCAGTTGTGGAACAAAATAATCACGAGTTTCAGAGAGGAGGATCTTATAAGTAACAGGTGATTCTTAGTCTGAAAATGTTGTTCATCATCTCTTTCAATTGATTTCATATTTCTTTCTCATGACTTGGAAAATGAAACTCTGTTTAAATATTTTATTCGACTCCTCAACTTGCTTTCACTGAAGGGAAATGGATCTGCTGCTTGTTCCGTATTGTGCTAATCGTGATTTGGAGATAATACAATGGCCTCCTTTTCGGCTTGCCAGCAAGGTTTAGTCTCAAACTTTTTTTTTTTTTTTTTTTTTTTTTCNATAATTAGTTTGTGTTTTCCTCCAAGAAACAGATTGTGACTATTTGTTTCATTTTTTCTTTTATTCATCACCAAGGATTCATAGTTTTGTTTAATCTCATTGTCAAAAAATTTATATGTACTACAAAATGAATTCCGCGTCAATTTACCTTCTCCCAAGTACTGTATTTATAATATAATTATGTTAAACATCATTACATAGATCTAATGTATGAGGATGAGGTTTGAGGTGTGGAGTTAATGATATAATCTTTGTCTCTTTTCCATTACTGATAAATCTCTGGCTGATTTGTTTCATCAAACAGATCCCAATAGCAGTGGATATGGCTAAAGACAGTAATGGAAAAGATAGTGAGCTGAGAAGACGGATTAAGTCTGATGATTACATGTACTCTGCTGTCTGTGAGTGCTATGCTTCATTTAGGAACATCGTTAAACTGTTAGTTCGTGGAAAACGGGAGAAAGAGTAAGTTATTTGTCTTTTTTTTTATCGATCGCGATTTGATCTCAAACAAATTTCGTTAACTTTACAATCCTTTTTTTTTTCTTCTTTTTTTATTTTTGCAGAGTCATTGAATACATTTTTTCTGAAGTTGACAAGCACATAGCGGAGGATGATCTGTTAGCTGAATACAAGCTCAGTGCTCTTCCAAGTCTTTACAATCTTTTTGTTGAGCTTGTCAAGTACTTGGTATCTTTTTCTCTGTTACATTATTTCATACTTTTCTTTCCATAGATAGATGTAGCTTTATTTTTTATCTTTAGCGATGTGAAATTTGCGAATTTTCCGCAGCTCGACAATAAACTGGAGCACAGGGATCAAGTTGTGATTCTTTTCCAGGATATGCTGGAAGTTGTAACCAGAGATATAATGCTGGAAGATCACATTTCCAAGTAAAGCTGTAGTTTGTGGTTGTTTTGATTATTTCTTCTTTTTTCCTGAAATAAATATAATTTTTGGTTTGTTACAAAGAAAGAGCTACTTATCTTTTAGAATACCCCAAAAAGAAATGAAAATAAATAAATTGAAGTATAACTGAAATCATCCCATTGAGATGGTTTATATTTGTGTCTAAAATTATCTCCTCAGTAAGCACGGATGCTGTTACAGAGAAACAAATGTCAAGGGATTGTCTGTAAATTTGAAAAACAACCAAGTTCTTTGCATTTACTCCAAATGTAATAGTATTTGTAGTTATTTATCGTTTTTCTTGAATAGCTTATTAGACTCGATTCATGGTGGACCGGGCCAGGAAGGAAATGTGCCTTTTGATCAACAATATCAGTTGTTTGCATCAGCTGGGGCAATCAAATTTCCTATTCCCGATTCAGAAGCTTGGAAAGAGAAGGTAAAATCAACAGTGAAATTGTCACGATATAAAAAACTTGATCATCTGCATTAGTTAACTGTCAGAATATCACTTTTTTCCACAGGTCAAGAGGTTGTATTTGTTGCTGACAGTTAAGGAATCTGCAATGGATGTACCATCAAACCTTGAAGCAAGAAGGCGTATTTCTTTCTTCTCCAATTCTTTATTCATGGACATGCCTTCGGCGCCTAAAGTCCGCAATATGTTGTCTTTCTCGTGAGTAGTTTTCCTTATGAATTTGGTTTTATTTTGATTAAATCATCTTAAACCACCCAGCCTTATGCAATTATTTGCAGTTTGCTACTAAATTTTCTTCTTGTGGGAAATTGCACTTTATGCCGTCAACTGCATGTTTTACTTCGATTTGCTAGTGAACAAATTTCATAGGTTCTTTGTATTATTTTAGTATTTAGATATTTTTTTTAATAATTTTCTTTTTAAGTTTAATGTATGGCATGAGTCAATTAATATTGTTTGTTTTTCTTGTGAATTTTAAATTTTGCTTTTTCTACGTAGTGTTTTGACTCCGTATTACACGGAGGAGGTTCTCTTCTCATTGCCTGAGCTAGAAGTGCCAAATGAAGACGGTGTTTCCATTCTCTTTTACTTACAGAAAATTTTCCCAGGTTTGTGCTTCAGGTGGACATGCTGCACATCATATTATAATCCACTTTCGACCTACCTTACATACAAACTTATGTCATGCAGATGAATGGAATAATTTCCTTGAGCGTGTCAAGTGTTTCAGTGAAGAAGAGCTTAGAGGATCTGATGAATTAGAAGAGCAGCTACGCCTTTGGGCATCATACAGGGGGCAGACATTGACAAGAACTGGTATGAATATACAAATGTATTCTAAATTAAAAAAAAAAAAATGTTTTTCCTCATATCGTGATTGTATTTTTCGTGTCACTGATGGATAGGGAGTAGTTCTTTTAATCTTCTTGTTTTGTGACATAGTAAGAGGAATGATGTACTACCGCAAAGCATTAGAAATTCAAGCATTCCTTGATATGGCCAAGGATGATGGTAATTTATCCTACATTTATTATCATTTGCTTATTCAAATGAGTACCTTTGTACATATTTTAACAACGCCATTTTTTTTTTTTTTCCAATTTAAATAGATTTGATGGAAGGCTATAAGGCTATTGAGCTGAACGAGGACCAAATGAGGGGAGAAAGGTCACTTTGGACACAATGCCAAGCAGTTTCAGACATGAAGTTTACTTATGTCGTGTCCTGTCAGTTATACGGTATTCAAAAACGATCTGGCGACCCTCGTGCTCAAGATATATTGAGACTTATGACCACGTAAGAAGCTATTTTTTTCAGTAAACAATATTTTTGTATTATTGGGATCCGTATTTCGTAATTGTTTTCTGTGTGACAGTTATCCATCTCTTAGAGTGGCTTATATAGATGAAGTTGAAGAGCCGAATAAAGACAAGTCCAAGAAAGTTAATGATAAGGTTTACTATTCGACTCTTGTCAAGGCTGCTCTACCTAAGTCGAACTCGTCAGAGCCAGGACAGAATCTGGACCAGGTAAAAAGGGAAATGAAACTGAAGTCAATTAATTAAGGTTACACTGATATTCCAGAATTTTTAAGTCAATGAATTTATTACTATTCGACTCTTTTTTAATACTGCATATAAGTGAACTTTTGTATGAGCAACAGGCTTATAGTCATTTTTGTTGGATGACAGCTTTTGACATTGAAATCTTTTTTATTATAAACCATGCTTTCGGTATAAAATGTGGCAAAATATCCCTTTTTGCAGGTAATATATCGTATAAAACTTCCAGGCCCTGCTATCTTGGGTGAAGGGAAACCTGAAAACCAGAATCACGCCATTATTTTCACGCGTGGGGAAGGCTTGCAAACAATTGATATGAATCAGGTAAATTAGCCAAGGTTTGAATTTTCATTTACTTAAGAAGAGTTAACCGACTAATGACAATGAGATTGTAGGACAATTACATGGAAGAGGCCCTGAAAATGAGAAACTTGCTTCAAGAATTTCTTAAAAGGCATGACGTGCGGCATCCATCAATTCTTGGTTTGAGGGAACATATCTTTACTGGAAGGTTTTACAATATCTCTAAATTTATTTGTATTTTTAAGATGAAAATTGTTGTTTATTCATCCACTTGATATATTCTCTACAATGTATTGTAGTGTTTCTTCTCTTGCCTGGTTTATGTCAAATCAGGAGACAAGTTTCGTGACTATTTGTCAGAGATTGTTTGCCAACCCTCTCAAGTAAGTTTTACCATTTGCTGCATGAACCTCCATTCTTATTCATTCCATCATTATTTCGCAATTTGGCTTATCCTATGAAGTATAAGCCTTTACTATGTTTGAATGCCATTTTCTGCAACCAACTCTTAGGTTTTTCATATTTGATATGGCTTATGACAACTTTTTTTAATAATTTCTGTTAATTCTTATTTATAAAATTATTTATAGCTAGTTTGTTGCACCTTTTTCTCTCTTTACAGGGTCCGGTTTCATTACGGCCATCCGGATGTTTTTGATCGACTATTTCACCTAACAAGAGGTGGGGTGAGTAAAGCATCCAAGGTTATCAACTTGAGTGAAGACATATTTGCTGGTATATGTCAACATACCCTCGTATTATACTCGTTCAATTTTATATTTATTTCACTCTTTTCGTTATTTACTCGACTCTGACGTAACTGTATACGTAACAAATACAGGCTTTAATTCTACACTTCGAGAGGGCAATGTGACCCACCACGAATACATACAAGTGGGTAAAGGAAGAGATGTGGGGCTTAACCAGATTTCTCTGTTTGAGGCCAAGATAGCCAATGGCAATGGGGAACAGACTTTGAGTCGCGATTTATATCGCCTGGGGCATCGTTTCGACTTTTTTCGGATGCTATCATGCTATTTCACCACGATTGGTTTTTATGTCAGTACCTTGGTACGTGAAAAAACGTCTACATTTTTTTTTCCTCAGGTTTTAATTTATTTTCTCATCCACCATCATGAATCCATTGATCCAATGTTGGATCAATGGCTCTCAGGGCCTTAAAGTGTAGGGCTTGGAGTATCAATTTATTCTTTTTCCCTGTTTTGCTCAAATGGGGGTGATTTTTTAGAAAATACTCACTTTCTTTCACCCATCACTTTCAACTCATTTTTCAAATTAACTAATCAATACTTACACAGTACACAGCCTTCAAACAAGCTTCAAAGTAGTAAACCCTCTAATTCTAATATATATCTAACTACCCATTCTTATCTATCAAAACAGATGTTTATCATTTCATTTTCATCTCATACCCAACACAAAGAAAGACAAAAACGAAAGAAAAGAAAGAAAGCAGGTATAATCTGACTGTCAATAATTTCAAAACCGAGTATTNCTACGGCCGCCTCTACCTCGTCCTCAGCGGAATCGAAAAAACCCTAAGCAGCCAGCCCGAAATCCGTCAGAACAAACCTCTTGAAGTCGCCCTCGCCTCCCAATCCTTCGTCCAGATCGGTTTCCTCATGGCCCTCCCAATGATGATGGAAATCGGTCTCGAAAAAGGCTTCGGCTCCGCACTCTGCGAATTCGTCCTCATGCAGCTCCAGCTGGCGCCCGTTTTCTTCACATTCTCCCTCGGCACAAAAACACACTACTACGGCCGAACCTTACTCCACGGCGGCGCTAAATACCGGGCCACGGGCCGCGGTTTTGTCGTGTTCCATGCAAAGTTTGCCGAGAACTATCGACTCTACTCGCGAAGCCATTTTGTGAAGGCGCTCGAACTAATGATACTGTTGCTCGTTTATCAGATATTTGGGACTTCGTACAGGAATACGGTTGCGTACGTGATTATTATGGTGTCCATGTGGTTTATGGTGGGGACGTGGCTTTTCGCGCCTTTTCTTTTTAATCCGTCAGGATTCGAGTGGGGGAAGATTGTGGATGATTGGGCGGAGTGGAATAAGTGGATTGGGAATAGAGGGGGGATTGGGGTGCCGCCGGAGAAGAGTTGGGAGTCGTGGTGGGAGGAAGAAGGGGAACATCTTCGACACTCGGGAAAGCGCGGGATTTTGGTCGAGGTTTTGTTGGCGCTTAGATTTTTTGTGTATCAGTATGGGCTAGTTTATCACTTGCATATCACGAGGCATACGAGGAGCGTATTGGTAAAAAAAAATTTCCCTTTTTTTTTGCTTTGAAATTTTGTGTGAGTTTGTTCCACATTTGATTCTATAGGGAAAATGAGTATAAGCCTAGTGGGCTACTCCTCCCATCACCAATTGGTTCTGGAATGGAACCTCACTAAGGTGCAACTAGGCTCACCCTCTTATGGTGCGGGTGGGACCGCACTCTCATCCCCCGGTTCTAACAAATTTTTCACACCATTTGTAGTTCGAGGTCGAAATTGTGAAAGTAATTCAATGCATTCAAGAGCATTTTTTCCTTTTTGTAGATTCAGAATGAAGGCGGGCTTACTTATGATTAGATATATTATTGGATTATCTAAATTTGAGTCTGGCTGAGTTTTTATGAATTTAGTAGTATCTTGTTTTTGTTGTCTTCTTCGATTTTTTGTTCTTTGAATGATTTTTGAAGTTCTTATCTGATACTTGTGTGTTTATGACAGGTATATGGCATATCATGGCTGGTGATACTTCTGATTCTTTTTGTCATGAAGGTGAGACTAATTTCCTTTTTAATTAGTTATGATTTTTTTTTTTGAACTCTTTTTCTCACCATTTTTGTTATTTATTTGGAGAAACTAGTTAAGTCGCATAATGTGGTATATATAACTCGGGTTACCTTCCTTCCCTGTTCTAGACTTCCTTTTTCACTTCTCTATCCTAATTTTCCTTATCTATATTTAATTCCTTGAAAACATTTCCAGCTTCTCAATCCCACCATATTGGGAAAAGAGAAAATGAAAAATCTATATTGCTATATTTTTGAATTTTCTGATAAATTTCTGTCTTTCTCCAGACAATTTCTGTTGGACGAAGGAAATTCAGCGCAAATTTCCAACTTGTTTTCCGACTGATCAAAGGTTTAATCTTTGTCACATTCATGTCCATCCTCGCCATTTTGATTGCTTTCGCACGTCTATCTCCTCGCGATATTTTCATCTGCATACTCGCTTTCATGCCCACTGGTTGGGGTTTACTTCTGGTAAGTATTCAAAGGCTACAAAACTACATTTTAATTTTTTCTTTGTTTCAACTCTATAATTCCAATTTGCGACTCAATACCAAAAAAAAAGGGTAAAACTCAACCAATTTTCACCTACAGATTGCACAAGCATGTAAGCCTGTGGTTGAAAGAGCTGGGTTCTGGGGTTCGGTTAGAACTCTTGCACGAGGCTTTGAAATTGTTATGGGTTTGCTTCTATTTACTCCGGTGGCTTTTCTCGCATGGTTCCCATTCGTTTCTGAGTTCCAAACTCGAATGCTGTTCAACCAAGCCTTCAGCAGAGGCCTTCAGATTTCTCGTATTCTTGGCGGCCACAGGAAGGACAGATCCTCCAGGAACAAGGAGTGATAGCTTTTATAATGTCTGCATGCAATTGCATGTATATTATTATTTATTTAGTCATATAATTATTTATTTAGTCACCATTTATTTTTGTTAATCATGTTGGTTGACCTTGCACGCTGCTGAATGTTTTTTCATACTGGTAACAATTTTTTTTTTTTGCATGAGGCGGCATATTTTGAAGGATGCAAAGTGTAGATAATCTAACTGACGGACTTCCTTTTCATAGAAATCCATTTTGGTTTAGAAATTCCAGGAAAGAAATGGGTGGTGTATATATTGACCGTTGTTTTATTTACCTTGTAGTTTTTTATTTTTTTCCTAAAAAACGCGACGTAGCGTTATATATTTAGCCTTTCTCTCGAAAAGCTTACGCAAAATGATGAAATGACATGCTTTTTTACGCTATTTTGCGTTATTTCACGCTATTGTGCACGACATTGTGATATATTTCTACAACGACATTTAAACAATAAAATATTCCAAAATTCATATTTTTTGGAGATTAAAGTCATATTTTCAAATGATAACTAAAAACTAAACTTTTGGTAATGATATTAAAATAAAAGTTTGAAAACAAAAAGTCCTGTGCATTACCCGTTGGGGTTGTTTCTTTTTCTCTTTCTCCCTTTGGGAGCTTTTAGTGTCCTTGTGTGTTTTTTTTGTGTGTATTCCCGAGTATTACCCTGTTGAGGTCGACTCTAGGCGGTCTTTGTCCTGTCCTCCCATTTTATGCAGTTGTTGGCTGGTTGTATTCAGTAGTTGGCTGTTTGTATTCAGCTGGTGGCTGTACTTTTACACATTTGTACGCTTTTATATAAAATGTCTATCGTTTTGAAAAAAAAAAATAAAAATAGTGCAATATTTATCGAATCCATTTCTATTACATCATTTTAATTTTTAATATTTAACATTTAAATAAAAAATAAAAAGTTCATAGGTTTTTACGTTTGGGGCATCGTTTCGACTTTTTTCGGATGCTATCATGCTATTTCACCACAATTGGTTTTTACGTCAGTACCTTGGTACGTGAAAAAACGCCTACACGTTATTTTTTTTTCCTTAGGTTTTTATTTATTTTCTCATCCACCATCATGAATGCATTGATCCAATGTTGGATCAATGGCTCTCAGGGCCTTAAAGTGTAGGGCTTTGAGTGTCAATTTATTCTTTGAGATAATTACCCCTCGCACGATTCCAACTAATCTTATTTCTCTTTCCACGAACCTTCGTTTTCATTCGCATTTGCACGACATATTTCACTATTCATTTCCCTTTCTGAAGTCCTCTCTTTCAATTCTTCATTCGTAGAGACAAAATATGAAATTTTCATTCAGTATTTCTCTTCCAAAATCCAAGATCCTCAGATCCCCAACAAGCCAGCAAAGCCAGAGAAGATCTTCCACAGCCGCATCGCTGCAAACAAGGCAGATCTTGGCCGCTTTCCCGGAGGCCTTCAATCAGAATCTGCCATCGGATCTCTCTAGGATTTGGTCGCCCCTTTGCACCGCCGCACCGCACTGCCGCTGCTGCGTTCGACCCTAGGGATTCGGGTAACAGTATTGGCCGGTGGCGTGAAAGATCGGGCATGTCTGGGCTATTCGAGTGGCCGTTGGTTCCGATTGGGTTGCATAAAAGATATTTTGTTGCTTATTTATCAATTTTAAATAATTTAGTTTTCAATTTGTGGGTTTATTTGTAGTTTACTTTTGTGTATGAATATTGTATATTTGTTCTGAATATTTCAATGTCTATGGAGTATGGATTATATTCATATGTGTTTTTTTTTTTAATTTTTTAGTTTATTTTGTGGTTTTCTTGTTTTCTTATGTGTTCTCTGCATATGTTTTTGTGCTTTTTTTTTGATATTTTTCATAGTTATGGTATATGAATGATTTTCATTTTGTTTATTTGTGGTTCCAGAAATTTTTCGCTCCATTATTTTATTGTAATCATGAAGGATTGCAGCAAAATTATTTCCATTCTGATGGATAGTTTGTCTTTTGGTGTAAGAATTTTATATATTTCGTCATTCTGTAATAAAAACTTGTGGCTCGTTAAAATGACGTTGCTGTAAGTTGTCTACATATATACGTCTTTTAGCCTTATTCTTTTTCCCTGTTTTGCTCAAATGGGAGTGATTTTTCTGAAAATACTCACTTTCTTTCACCCATCACTTCAGCTCATTTTTCAAATTTACTAATCAATACTTACACAGTACACAGCCTTCAAACAAGCTTCAAAGTAGTAAACCCTCTAATTCTAATATATATCTAACTACCCATTCTTATCTATCAAAACAGATGTTTATGTTTATCATTTTCATTTTCATCTCATACCCAACACAAAGAAAGACAAAAACGAAAGAAAAGAAAGAAAGCAGGTATAATCTGACTGTCAATAATTTCAAAACCGAGTATTACCATCGAACAAACATTCACAATGTCGTTTCACAGTACCTACACTCGACTCTTCTTTCGATTTCATTTGTCCATTAGTCTCCAAATTCGCACCATTCTCATCTTGAACTTCTTTTACAGCTCCTCCTTCATGTAAGCTCAAGTTTTTAAGTTAGTAGCTCATAATCAAAAAATTTCAAAAGATAAATAAATAAATAAATTTTCAAAATAGATTACCAGCTATACATTTATTTACTAACTTATTTTCGAAGATAAGATTCGTCTGCAGCTCTTCCTCAGAAGTCTTCGAAATTGCTATGTCAGGTTCTGGACAACATTCACTCCAAGGCACTTGAATTATAGAAGAAATAAACTTCCGTGCGTCTAAATTGTATGCGCGGACTAGATTAGAGACCTTGTTGATTTCCGCATTTATCTTGAGAAAACGAATGCTATCTGGATTTGAATCATTCGCGTACACTTGGCATCTCTTTTGTGCAGCTGGAATAGCAAAAGGACCGATACCAGCAAACATATCACAAACAGTATCCCTAGCCTCAAATTTAGAGATCAACCTCAAGTGCTCATGTTCCAATCTAGAATTCCAATAGACCAAGCCATAATCGAGCTTGAAAGTTGCCCCATACTGCTTTACCTCTGTAACCATGTTACAATCTCCAGCAAGAATTTCGAAATTCGGCACACGAAACTCATTCGTTATAGTCCCAACTTTATTGACAACGGTCTAGATTCGTGGATAGTTTTTCTACAAAGAATAAATAAATAAATAAAGAAAGAGGAGTTCAAAATTTTAGGACTAGTAACATAAAATTATTCAAATAATCAGTATTTCAATGGTTAATTCTAATCCGTGCGTTATTCAAATAGGCTCCAGTAATTGACTGCTTTCAAGAAAAATCATGACATGCATAAAAGAATAGTCATGGAAATCCTTATAATATTCACACTTGGCTTTTATCATTAAAAAATAACTGATTTTACCAAAGCAAAAAATTAATTCCAGAATTTGGCAGGTTGAAACTTACTAATATGTTGTAAGTTCTAAGAATTCATCTGCGGAGAAACAAATTAGTGAGCCAACTATTTTGGAAATAAGTTATACATACAAAGGTGGAAAAACATACATCATAAATTACTTTTGCTATAACATCTTTATACGGCAGCAGTTCATCCGCTATATTCAGGTGGGCAATGTGACCCTGCACAAAAGCAATTCGAAAACAGAACTATTAACTAAGATCTCACGTAAGGAAACTAGAAGTATTTTCAAAAGAATATCATTAATGATTATTCGTCACTCTAAGACAATATCAGAATAATAATCTAAGAATTTTATGAGGGGATTAGGCAACACCGAGAATACCAAAATGAAAGATCGACGGGAAGAATGCTGACACATAAAACACTTAACTATTGTTTCAAATGACGACGGTACTTCAATCCCAGGTGGCAGAATCTGCTTCAATATATGGTCTGTAATCCAATTAGCCAGATGGAAATTTAATATTAAATAACACCACCAAGTTGAACTTCTTCACGCATCTTAATTAGCAAACCACCAAAATAATGTACAATGATTGAATAAAATTGCTAGAACATAGCAGCAATCAAGTGGGGGGAGAAACTAACCCAGTTTGCAAGAATAATCAAGTTTCAAATGCACAATATTTATAAGGCACCATCAATATTAAATCAGAAAATTTCTAGGCTGAACGAAAGAAAGAATGCGTAGGAGAGATATAATTCTATATATATATATATATATATATATATAGGATGTGGTTCAAATGAGAACCAAGTCTCAGTGTGAGAATCGTGAGAATTACTATTTTTAATTATGCGTAGTGCTATGACTGATTGTGTGTGGTGCTATTTTTAACTAGGATGAATTTTATTAAAATAGCAACACAATTTCTGTTAGCATTTGTAAAACTGATATCACCATCTAATATGAAAAATAGCATCATACAGAATTAAAAATAGCATCAAATACGGTTCTCACAGTTCTCACACCAGAACTAGTTTTTATTTGAACCACCCCCTATATATATATATATATATATATATATATATATATATAAAGTGACTGGTAAAAAAGGTGGATGTAATAATAGCTATACTACATCTAAATTTCAAATAAGAATCACCTCCTAAATGAAGTAACTTCCTTCACAGTCTTGGAGCATCAAAGTCTACAAATTCAGCTCCAATAACTTAAGAACTTCGAACTAAAAAACTTATGCAACGGTATAACAAGCTTTTCCAAGCAGGTGTCTTGATTTCCATTTACATTCAAAAATCACAAAGAAACAATAAAAGCTGAAAACATAGAAAATGATTTACGTACCTACACTCCAGTACGAATAGCCAAGCGTAAAATGAATATGGAACTACTTGAATCTCGAAGAGCCTTTTCAATTCCTCAACCTTATCATCAGGGATCTCAGACAAATCTGTCATAATTGCCAACACATAAGAATAAGAAACTCAAAGTTGATGCTTTCCACGTTTCTTCTTCTTCTTCTTCTTCATCCACAAACTTTCCACACAATATAACATTAGCAAGAAAGAAAAACGCAATGACAACTCAATACCTGGAATTTGGATTCTCTCGGACAATAACATGTAACGATTCTTATCAGAAGTTGGATCTTCTGTTACAGGTTTGATGCGTGGTCTATTAAGTAAATATCAGCAACAAGAGAAAAGTAACAATGAAAATGTAAACACCATGAAAAAACTATGGACATACTAACACCATTCATTAAATACCCATTTAGAATTCGAGTTGCAAGCTTGCAATGCTCCCGTGGGACTCGAAGTGCCAACAAATTCAACTGTACGTCAAAAGTTTTCTCGTCCAACATGGCAACTGCAAATCACTCAAATTATGCAAAACTCAGTTAATGATTTGGTTCCAAATAGGTAGATAAACAGGCTGGTACTTGAGGTGACGGACCTCCACCGAGAATTAGGGGTTTTGGGGCGGCCTGCTGCTAATTAGGGCTTCCAAATATCATGTGCAGCTATTGATGATTCGTCTGTTTTACCTTTTCAATCCAAAATTCTTGCTAAACCATCCATGACTCCATATAATTTTTGTACTCGGTGATGATTTGGATCAAGATGCAATGTAAATTAGGATGTAAATACAAAAAAGGAGAAAAATAGAGGAATTAATGCAAGTATTTTTAACACTTGCAATGTATATTTCCTTTTCATTTTTAAGCCTACATGAGATCAAGTAAACGAGTCAAATCGAGTTGAGTTTGAGCTCGACCGAGCTGACAAAACGAGCTAGTAACCGAGTTCAAACTCGGATAATTTACCAATTTTAACTCCACTAAGTATATGAAATTACGAAACTAAAAAAAAATTATATTCGTTATAGCTGCCCAGTTCTGAGGTTCTCAAATGGGGGCTGAAAATTTTGTAAAGAAAAACTAAAAACTGACCGAACCAAAAAAATTGTGTGAAAGTTACAGTTATTGTTTTGGTGGTTGATTAATTTATTGCAGCTTTTAGCTCAAAGGAGAATTTTTTAGGGCTGCTTGTTAAAGTGGGGGCACACCTCAAAATCGCACCGATATTTGAACGCTGGGAAGAATTACAAAAAGTTCTTGCAGATAAAAAATCTTCTCTTTTGTCATCTGATACTGACGGCTCAAGCGTCGCAGATTGCGTTTTTTATGCTCACTCAGAGATTTGAATTGGTCGAGGTATCATCACTCGAACTATGTCATTTTTTTTTAATTATTATTACATTTTTTCCCTTTTTAACTAACTGTTGTTCAATCCTCTCTCATGTCTCATGACTTTATCTTTTGCTTTCTTACATTTTTCAAAGTCGATATTAGTATTTTGCCATAGACTGTTGTAGAATCGCAAATGTGGATTTTAAGGTTTTATGGGCTGTATTGAAATTTGCTTGTAGACTTACGAAACAAACTTGGTTGAGCCCCCTTATGGGATTTCTTTTCATTTTGTTTTGAGCATTTGAAATGATGCTATTGCTAACAAATGGTGGCTGGATCAATTTTTTTTTTTCGCAAATGACTGAGTGGGGTCCATCAGTTTTCAGCTAAATGATGGGGCCATGAGGTAGAACATTTTCAATCATACAAAGTAGAAAGACTCCACCAACTCTCTCTGCGACTGAGTTTCCTCTCCAGCAAAAAATTGGTTGCTAGTTACAAATAAATGACTCGATTAGTATATATTTCGTCAACAGGCATTTTGAATGTGGGCTTCTATACATTTTATTCTAACATATGTTTGAATGCATTTACTCGTTATATTTTAGGTGTAGCCAGTGTTTTCAAAAGTGCAGCTTAGCGCGCTACGTCGCGCGAAATAGCAAATCTTTTGAAAAACGTGCCATAGCAAATCTCTTAAAAAACGTGCCATGGCGCTGTAATTTAGCGCACTTCCAACATAGCGTACGCCTTTAATGACGTGGCACGCGTTTTTCGGATAGCGTACAACCCTAAAAAATTTGAAGGCAGAAAATTGCCGCGTTTTTCGGATAGCGTACAACCCTAAAAAATTTGAAGGCAGAAAATTAAAAAAAAAAAAAGAAAGAAAAACAAAATTGAAAAAAGGCGACGAAAATCACAATCAGAAACTCAGAAATCAGAATTCACGAAACCCTCATTTCACTTCTCTTCATCATCTCCCTCTCGACCTCTCCACCGCAGCCTCCAAGGATCCACCACAGCCCAGCTCTCTTCATCATTTCACTTCTCACATCCTCTGTTTCCTCGACTCTCGTCTCTCGCTCTCGCCTTTTGCCCAGCTCTCGGCACCCCCTAAGTCCCTTCTCCTCGGCTCTTTGTACCCTACATCCCTTGCACGGTTGCACCTCGACTTTCAACTCCAAAGGTATCATTTTGTTTTTCATTTGAGATTATTAATAGCTTCAGTGAATGATTTCGTTTTCTCGCTCTCGCCTTTCATTTTGTTTTTTTCTTTTTTTGAAGCTGCTTCACAGAACATGAATTGAAATTGGCCCTCTTCTAGTGAATTATTTCGATTTTTTTTTAAATTAGAGTGAGATAAAAGGATTGATGGAGATTGATGTTTGATTGCATTTTTTTTATGTGTATTTTTCGATTTTTTTTTTTAAATTAGAGTGAGATATAAAGATTGATGGAGATTGATGTTTGATTGCATTTTTTTTATGTGTATTTGCCTATTTGCTGATTGGGTCTGGCTATTTTTTTTAATGATTCAGAGTATATAGAAGACTAGAAGTATAGAACAGATCTATTTAATTTGATGATTCTATTGTAGTTGAATTGTGTCCTGATTCTTGAATATCTGAGTATGGAACATATAAGACATAAATGAATTGTGTCCTGAATTATTTCCATTTGGTAATGGAACATCAGTGAGGTATTTAAAGAAGTATGCAGTTGTTTTTTATTAGAATGATTGATTAAATGTTTCTAAACTTAAATTATTAGTTTGTTTATTATTAAGGTTAAGAAAATGGATCCAAACATAACTGAATAGATGAAGAGATTACTGTTTTGTTGTGATTACTGTTCTTATTACAGTCAAATAATGAATTGGATGAGGCCAATTATTTATAGATTTTGAGTCTTTACTTTGAAGATTATGACTTTGGGTTGTTGTATGAACTAATATTTGAATGTTGTTTTTTAGATTTAATGTCTAAATTTATGGTTTAAGATTATTTTAATTATTTATTTACTTGTATGGTTATATATATTATTATCTTTAGCATTTAAAGTGAACTGCTCGAATAGCTTACGTAATGCGCTACGCTATTACGCTACGCAATATCAGGACCAAAACGCGACGCGATGCGCTATGCGCGTTTTAAAACACTGGGTGTAGCCTATCCAATATAGTTTGGGCTGTGGCTTAGAGTCTTGCAGCTGTCAATTAAGTTTTGAGTAGTAAGAACTAACATCTTTAGAATTTAAGAAATGATCATCCAATGATTTGGGAGGACATAATTATATAAATTATTCATCTTGGCTGGTTGATCCTGAAGACCTTTTTTTCCTTTAATGTAGCAGTTCGTTTATCTTTGCTCCCGGTTGTATTTTATAAGGCTTTAGGGATGTTTTCAGTTGCATTATCCCTCAGTTACTAGTGTTCAACCTTTCTTATGCTTAATTTTATATATATATATATATTTTTTTTTAATTTAAGCAAGAAAATGTATGGATTGTGGTTGATGCCAAATCATTGTCCTAATCAGCGATATGTGTCAACTGTTGGTTTCTTGCTTTAAATTTTTTTATATTCCCTAATTGTTATTTTACCTATTCAATGCCTTTATTTCACACGCTTATTTCACGGTAGCCTGATGACATTTATCATTGATATGCACTAGACTTTAACCATGTTTTATGTCAATATTTGATATCTTGCCAGAGTATGATATTTTTATGTGGTCCTGCTGGCCGCTGCTAGTTCAATCATGTTGCTCTTGTTTTGTAAAAAGAAAAATTCAGCAATATATTGAAAATGATTAGTGTTTTATACATATTTAAGTTTGAATATGTTGGTCTATCAATCAATTTTTTTTTGTTATACACAAATGGTTTTCTTAGTCTATCTACTTGAATAAGTATGTTATTGGTCTATTAACTTTGGTTTTGGAGCTTATACCTTTTTTATCTAATTTAGCTTATTATCATTTTATCTTAAAGCATGAGAAAAATGCCTGGAATTATGAGCCAAATGCCACCTATTCCTGTGTTCTTAAAGGAGGACCTTGCAAGCAGTGTATTTCTACGTTCATCTCAGGTACGCTTATGCCCTATTACTCGACTATATTTCCATTATAAAAAAAGATGGATCACAATGTAATTATCAAGACTTTTTGCATTCCATATATTGCGAACTTTCAATCATCAAGCAAAGTAACAACGGATCATCATTTTTTGTATTTGACTGTTCTTTGTGCTTTCATGAGTGATTTATTATTGTATTATTTTTTTCTATTTTCTCTTTCTTTGATAATAGTACGAACTAGCAACTTCAACACCATCTTACACTCGATAAACTTTAATTCTAGAAAAAAAAAATTAAGAATAATTTATATACCGCAGAAGTACTGAATTCACATGAAAAATGAATAATACATTCATCTTAAACAAGTATTGCTTGCTTACAACATAGTATGCACAAACACCAAATAAATTGTCAAAGTAGATGATGATTAGATATAATTTTGGTATACACGTCTGGCTATATATTATAAATTTGAACCAATGAAAATATTATTAGAATTACATAGTCAAAATATGTTAAAGATTGGATCATCGTCATAAATATTTTGAGGCTTTGCTCATTCTCCTGCAGAAAACCTACTAAAAAAAAACATAGGAAAAAGTTCACACAGCTAAAATATGATTAAAATTGGTTAATTTTCTTCCAGAGCGTTCATAAGCATCTTGTTTGGGTGTTATTTGAGTTTTGCCCACTTTGTGAAAACCCCTAATATAAAATACACAGAAATTAGGATGATTGTTAATCATGGAATAAATTCAACTGTTGGTGATGTTGATGGTGTCAAGGAAGTCTAAGTGAATGGATCTCATGTTGTCTGATTCATTCTTTGTCGGGTGGGAGCAAAACTATAAGTATGTTTTTATAAAGAGCTAACTGATACCCAAGTTTGAATTGACTATGATTCTTAAGTCCATTTTTTATCATGAAGTTTTCCCTTATTTATTCTTTGACCTAATGTTTTAATATTATTTTATCTTGCCATAAATATTTATGATATAAATATATACATATATTTTTTTTTAAATCAAAAGATATTTTAAAAATTAAAAATAATACTGGTTTGATCAAATTTATATAACTGACAATCCACACTAAAATAACTAGCTGTTAAAGCCTAAAACCAAACAAATCATTATCTGTTCCAAAATTGTTGGTGGGTTTTGATTGTTCGAACATAGCAAGCACTTATGATGAGTGGATTTTGTATTTCTCAGCAGCTACGAGATTATTATCCTCGCCAATTGGGGCTGTGCAGTTTTACATGCAACAGAAATCGGAAGAGAAGTCCTTGTTCGCCTGTTCGAAAATTTCCTTGCTCCACGCTGAGGCTTTTAAGATTCAAGTTCTTAGGTGCCTGTGCGTTTTCTTCGTCGTCCTTTCCAATTACCAATAGCAATAATGATGAATCCTCTGGACTCTCTTTCATTCACAGTGATGTATCTCAGCCTCCTTTTCTTTCGGATTGTTTAACGTAATTTTCTAATTCCTTTTCCTATTTCTATTGTTTTAATAATTTTGAGATTTCAAATCTTGTTTGGTTTTGGTGTAATGTAATATTTTTTCGAATAAACTTCCTGGGTGTACGATAGTGGATAACTTATGTCATATGAATGATAGCTACAAATTGTGGAAGTTCAACAAGCATTTTGTGCTAATTTCATTTCTCATCTCCTAAACAATCAATTAGCCAACGCGAGGCTTCATTACTCTTATCTTCTCAAGTTGTTTTTGGTGGTTGTTAGGAATATGATTGAAATTCCACTGCCATATCTTAGCATCTTGCCTTTGACATGATTTGAAGTGCTCAAGTTTTGTTTTTTTCTTTTTTCTCCTTGAACTGCAAGTAGCCCAGCTGAAAACGATGGAAGTCCATCTCAAGGAATATCATCTTTGGCAGGTTGGTTCTTTAGGCCCACGAGCCATTTCATTACTCTTTACTTTTTTCAAACTTGTACTCTTGTATGTATGTAAAGTTTAAACAATTTGCACGTAATGATGGTTGTTTCGTCTAAACTTCAAGTAGCAACCTTAGTTTTTTTTTTTTTTAAATCCCTGTGACAGCTCATTGACTTTGCTCTGCCTCATATCTTGGAAGGTATGTTTTGCTGGACATATCCATATAAAATTTGAAAAACTGCTATTTCAATCGCACAATGGTTAGTAATGCTACGTGGTCATACATTTTCTTCATTCAAAACGTGAACTGTCTTATCAATCAAAGGTACTTATTTCACACAAGCATGTCCAATATCTCCATTAGTCGTAATTGATGATTTTTCTTTGATGTTCATCATATTAGGAGGAATAGTAGCACTGGGAAAGTTTGATGCCCTTCATATTGGTCATAGGGAGCTCGCAATTCAAGCTGCAAAGATTGGAGTTCCATTTCTATTGTCCTTCGTTGGAATGGCTGAGATACTTGGGTGGCTTGGGTGGGAAGCCAGGTATCGATATTTTTCTGGCCATTATATTTTAAAATGTTTGCTGCATGAGTAAATTCACATAAGTTATTCCCATCGAGTCATTGATTATGGACTGGTATACATAATAAATTCTCGAGGCTCTAACTGCTTCTTTTACCTCATTTATGTAAGTCTTCCACGCGGTTTTATTATTCATAATCAACCCTGTTTATTATGTCACTCATGGAGCAAATTAAACTCCTTTTGTGCATTTTTCATGGTACTTCCTAACATCTTTAATTAGAAATATCAACTAATTTATCAGAAAGCAGCCTTGATGTAACACTTCTTGATCCATCATAAGATGTTTCTTAATCAATATTAGCTTCCAAGAACTGGGAAATAAAGTAGCTTCTAAACCTATTCTATCCATTTACGTGTTAAAACTACTGGTCAGGCCTCCTATAGTTGCCAAATGTGATCGGAAGCGAATTCTCTCATCTTGGGCCCCACTATGTTCTAATATTACACCCAAGGAATTTCACATTGAGTTCTCGAAAGTTCGATATCTTTCTCCACGTCAGTTTGTTGAGAAATTATCAGACGAGCTTGCAGTTGGTGGGGTTGTGGCAGGTATTGCCTATTATTCTTTTATGATACATGATTATATATATATATATATATATAAAGGTTTAAGAATCAGCTTGAAATGTAATATGACGACAGGTCAGAACTACAGGTTTGGGTATAAAGCTGCTGGCGACTCGTCTGATTTGGTTCGATTGTGCGATGAATATGGCATGAAAGCCTCTATAGTAGATTCTGTCATGGATAAAAAGCAAGAGTTTTTCAAGGAGATTGATCATCGTCATCATAACGGAACAATTAACGAGCGAGGCCAAGTATCATCCACTCGAGTTCGGCTTGCGCTTGCTGATTGCGACATGAATTACGTGTCACAACTGTTGGGCCGCAAGCATCGCCTTATGATGATGGTTAAAAACGAGGAAAATCTTTTACGAGATGGTAAAAAGTTGTCGGCTTCTAGGTCGTGTTTGTTGAATCTTCCACCCAAAGAAGGTTTTTATAGTAATTGTTCTCTAGTGGTTGGGGAAAACGAGAGTTTCGTGCCATGCAAAGTCGTTATTGATACAACAACTATTCATATGGAACTCGACGAGTTATCATCTCCTCACATAATTTTTTCCGATCGAAACTTTGACTTGTTGGGGATTGAATTTGGTGACTACAAAGTTTGATATTCTAATTCTATATAGATTTTGCTGGATTGATAGTCCTTTTTTTTTTTTTTTCNGTCTACAAATAGTAATGCATAAGCAAGAATCAGAATTTTGTTACTTAATGATATGTAGAATAAGTAGTATCCTTTTGATTCTTTGTGGAGGAATTGTTTAGAATAAAAATGTACATTTTTACAATGAAATGTTGAAATGTTATGCCACAGTAAACTGTAGAAACTAGAAACTATAAAGTATCCTTCGCAGGCCGTGCCTGATGTGGGCCTGGGTTGAGGCCCGCAACCGCCAGTGCCGAGGGATGTTAACTATTACAAGAGCCTATTCAGCAGCATGGAGTGGGGTGGGCCCGATGCCGTTTGGGCATATGGTGAGGCCCGGCAGGGATATGAAGCCCAAGATAATGAAGCCATGCATTTATTTCAATAGCCTAAAGGGATGCAGGAATGGGGCAGAGGGTGAGTGGTGGTGGTGTTCCGGAGGTTCAGAGTGGAAAGAGGGCCAAATTGGATAAGGAAATTACAGGTTTGTGATTTTTTGAGTTCGTTGTGTGTGTGTATATATATAACCTTTTTTTTGGGGGGTTTTGTTTCTCTTTATTCAGAGGCGATTTTCGGTTTATTTAGCGCCGGCCATCGGTTTTTATTGTTCTGTTATGCAACGGAGGATGGCGCGTATTTTCTCTGAATTTTTGTAGCATATATAAGGTTCTTAACTTGTATATTTTTCTTCCCCTTGATTTATTTATGTTACCAGTATTTTTCAAATTTCTTCTCTGATAAATTGATGAACGGGGTAAGAGTAGTTTTTGGTGTTCTATTTATTCCTCGAATGATAATAGAGTAATTGTGATGTTTTTAACTGTTTTGAATAATGACGGGGGACCTGAATATTAGAAGAAAGTTAGGTGTAATGGGCAAACTATAAAATGATTCAGCAAAATGATTCGCACGTCTATCTCCTCGTGATATTTTCATCTGCATACTCGCTTTCATGCCCACTGGTTGGGGTTTACTTCTGGTAAGTATTCAAAGGCTACAAAACTACATTTTAATTTTTTTCTTTGTTTCAACTCTATAATTCCAATTTTCGACTCAATACCAAAAAAAAAGGAAAAGGTAAAACTCAATACCCATTTTCACCTACAGATTGCGCAAGCATGTAAGCCTGTGGTTGAACGAGCTGGGTTTTGGGGTTCGGTTCGAACTCTTGCACGAGGATTTGAAATTGTTATGGGTTTGCTTCTATTTACTCCGGTGGCTTTTCTTGCATTGTTCCCATTTGTTTCTGAGTTCCAAACTCGAATGCTGTTCAACCAAGCCTTCAGCAGAGGCCTTCAGATTTCTCGTATTCTTGGCGGCCACAGGAAGGACAGATCCTCCAGGAACAAGGAGTGATAGCTTTTATAATGTCTGCATGCAATTGCATGTATATAATTATTTATTTAGTCATATAATTATTTATTTAGTCACCATTTATTTTTGTTAATCATGTTGGTTGACCTTGCACGCTGCTGAATGTTTTTTCATACTGGTAACAATTTTTTTTTTTGCATGAGGCGGCATATTTTGAAGGATGCAAAGTGTAGATAATCTAACTGACGGACTTCCTTTCATAGAAATCCATTTTGGTTTAGAAATTCCAGGAAAGAAATGGGTGGTGTATATATTGACCGTTGTTTTATTTACCTTGTAGTTTTTTATTTTTTTCCTAAAAAACGCGACGTAGCGTTATATATTTAGCCTTTCTCTCGAAAAGCTTACGCAAAATGATGAAATGACATGCTTTTTTACGCTATTTTGCGTTATTTCACGCTATTGTGCACGACATTGTGATATATTTCTACAACGACATTTAAACAATAAAATATTCCAAAATTCATATTTTTTGGAGATTAAAGTCATATTTTCAAATGATAACTAAAAACTAAACTTTTGGTAATGATATTAAAATAAAAGTTTGAAAACAAAAAGTCCTGTGCATTACCCGTTGGGGTTGTTTCTTTTTCTCTTTCTCCCTTTGGGAGCTTTTAGTGTCCTTGTGTGTTTTTTTTGTGTGTATTCCCGAGTATTACCCTGTTGAGGTCGACTCTAGGCGGTCTTTGTCCTGTCCTCCCATTTTATGCAGTTGTTGGCTGGTTGTATTCAGTAGTTGGCTGTTTGTATTCAGCTGGTGGCTGTACTTTTACACATTTGTACGCTTTTATATAAAATGTCTATCGTTTTGAAAAAAAAAAATAAAAATAGTGCAATATTTATCGAATCCATTTCTATTACATCATTTTAATTTTTAATATTTAACATTTAAATAAAAAATAAAAAGTTCATAGGTTTTTACGTTTGGGGCATCGTTTCGACTTTTTTCGGATGCTATCATGCTATTTCACCACAATTGGTTTTTACGTCAGTACCTTGGTACGTGAAAAAACGCCTACACGTTATTTTTTTTTCCTTAGGTTTTTATTTATTTTCTCATCCACCATCATGAATGCATTGATCCAATGTTGGATCAATGGCTCTCAGGGCCTTAAAGTGTAGGGCTTTGAGTGTCAATTTATTCTTTGAGATAATTACCCCTCGCACGATTCCAACTAATCTTATTTCTCTTTCCACGAACCTTCGTTTTCATTCGCATTTGCACGACATATTTCACTATTCATTTCCCTTTCTGAAGTCCTCTCTTTCAATTCTTCANAACTTAGCTAAAGCAGAGATAGGCCGAACCCTTAGCCAACCAAAACCACAGACAACAAACTACCCTGACTACTGTCCAAACCAGGACCTAGCCAGCACCACACAAACACCTATACAAACTAAGAAAAACCTAACTGGCCATAGAAGCACCAGCATAGGCTGCTACTCGAAAGAAAAACAACATAGCAAAAGAAAAAACACAACCAAAGACACATCCCAGCAGCTGCCCTTGCAATGTTAGGATAATGGCACCTGAGCAAATTCTGTCCATTCCCTCAAAGCACATTTAATGAGCACCTGTTCAGGGACTCTTTCTTGCTTGAATAGCCACATGTTGCGGGTTTTCCACAACCACCACAGAAGGTATGTGGATAGTTGTATTCTTTCTTCATCTATTGCAGCCTTTCCAGTCAAACATATGTATGACCACCATTCCTTGAAGGAGCATTCCTTCATATTGATCCCTTTCCAACTGATAGGTCCCATTTCCCAGACCGTTGCAGCTCTAGGGCATTGAAAGCACATATGTTCAGTTGTTTCAATACCATCTCCACAGGATTGGCAAATAATGTCAATGTCCATACCTCTCTTTTTCAGGTTGAGCTTAACAGGTATTCCAGAACAACATTTCCAGATAAAATGTTTTATCTTTTCTTTGACCTTTAACTTCCACATTCTATTTCTAGCTTTTTTCCCTTGAATATCCCTGTGGCTGCTCTCAGGCATATCCATTGCCAAAATTTTCTTCTCCAAAAGATAAGCATAAGATGTGGAGACTGAGAACATACCTCTTTTATCAAGTTTCCATCTCCAAGTGTCCTCCAGAGCATGATTCAAAGTTCTGATTTTAAGGATTGCAGAGCTGTCCACTGTTCCAAAAACCTGGTGAATAAGCCATTCATTCCAAGCAGTCCCATCCTCTGTCATCAAGTCTTGCACCCATATCAAATGGCCTCTAGCTATTTCCAAGAGTTCAGGTTTTTGTTTAGCAAGATATGGAACCCAGTTCTAATCCTCAATCTTTGTATTCTTGCCATTCCGAATGATCACCTGCAATCCTTTAGCAAACAAAGGGACCACAGATTGCCAACTTCTCCAGAGCCATGATGTATTTGATTTGTTTTCAACTTCCAGCAAAGATGAGTTAGGAAAATACTTACTCTTCAAAACTTTACTTACCAACAGCTCTGGTTGAGTGGTGATTTTCCATAGCTGTTTGCAAATCAAGGCCTCATTGAAGAGTGAGATGTCCTGAAACCCCAAACCCCCCTTGCTTTTAGGCCAAGTCAGGTGGTCCCATCTCTTCCAATGTACTCCACTCTGATTATCATCTCCTGTTCTCCACCAAAATGCAGCACATTGTCTTGTAATTTCCTTGCAAGTCACAGCTGGGAGTTTGAAACAAGTCATTGCATACACTGGAAGTGCATTTATGACAACCTTTATCATGACTTCTTTGCCTGCAACTGACAAACACCTGTTCTTCCAACTCAGCAGTCTATGTCTCACTTTGTCAATGATATAAGAGAAAGTTTCAACCTTTGACCTACCTATGCCCAGAGGTAAGCCTAAGTACCTTGTGGATGTGTGTCTGTTAATGCCATTAAAAATCCTGCAAACCTCCAACTGAATGAGCTCTGGTGAATTTCTGCCGAAAAAAATGGACGACTTGTCCATGTTTACCATTTGACCAGTAAACCTCCTGTAAATCTCCAACAATTGAAGGATTTTGACTGCCTGCTCAGAAGCTGCTTTGCTGAAAAGTAGTGAATCGTCCGCAAACAAAAGATGAGATATGGTTGGACCCCCTCTATTCAATCTCAATCCAGCATACTGCTTTTGCTCAACCGCATAAGAAATTAGTGCAGACAAAACCTCAGAGACTATCAGAAACAGAAAAGGAGAGAGTGGATCACCTTGGCGCAAACCCCTCGATGGTTTGACATATCCCCGCACTTTGCCATTTAGATTAAACGAGAAGGATGGTGAACATATACAAGCCAAGATCAAATTGACAAATTTAGTGCTAAACCCCATTCTGATCATTATGCTCTGGATGCAAGACCACTCAACACGGTCATAAGCTTTGACCATGTCAAAGAAACCCTTTTGTTCAAATTCTTGATTTTAAATGTCATTGCTATTCACCGCTCTCTCTATTACTACTTATCGCCTCGTGGACAATTTTACCCCGCTCATCATTTCAGAATTAAAAAATAAATAAAAAAATCACTCTCTCTCAAACTCTCTTGTCGCCGCGTCTCGTCGCCCCCCAAAATAAACTGAAAAAAATGAAAAATCCTCCCCACGGCCGAGGCATAGGTTTAATGATTCGTCCGGTATGTTTTTTTTTTCGATGTGTAAATATTTTTTAATTTTTTTTGAAGTTTCAAGCCGGCCGGCTGGCCGTTGAGGTGAAGGCCGACAACCAATTGCGGCCAGCGCTGGCGCGACCGATTTCGGGCGTGCAAACTAATCGTAGGAGGCCGGCCATACCCTGAGCTGCCGCCATCGGTGGCCACCGCAACCTAATCGGCCACCATTGGTGGCTGGCCACCCCTAAGGCGGCCGTCATCGTCGTCCGGCCATGCTCTCTGCGGCCGGCCGGGCGGCCAGATTCTATTTTTTTTAATAATTGAAATTACTTAAATTTGTTTAAATATTTAAAAATAGAATTGACTCGATTTTTTGATTTAGGTTAATTTAGATAAATTTTAGTTTAGTGGTTATTAATAAATATGTTACTTATAAATAATATATTATATATATTAGTTAAATATAATTATATAAAATTTATGATAATAATACCTTTTAATAATCCTAATTATTTATGGGATAATGAATCTAACTTTAGTGTTTTTAGAAAACGAATTTGTTGTAATATATGTAATAAAATGGTTGGTTGAGTAATTATTAATTTAAAAAATTAAAATTAGATTCTAATATAAGGTGAAAGAATTGTATAATTTTTTAATTAATTAATTTCTTATAATTATATAATCAAAAAGTGGAATTATATTAATTATGTGGTTACGAATAATTATTATATTGATTTTTTAATACTTTTTAGCAAAATAATTGCTTGTAATATTTAATATTTCTTAGAGAACACAACTTTCTCCAACAAGGGCTATAATTGTCATTTTGACAGTATCATAAAATTTATTCATGTATCATAAATGCATGACTATTTGGATCAAATACACATTCTATATTGTAAACAAATGATAAAAATTCAATTCAAAATGGATAATATAGTCAAATTGCATCAGAACACCCATTATGCTTTGGTTCTCTTAAAAAAAATATCACATGCCATATAGAAAATAGACTTAGTCTATGAAAAAATGATTTTCAATGCAATTAGAATTGGACATGGTTTAGTTCATGTGACAATAAAAAAATGAGACAAAGTCCACAACTTATGTGACAATAAAAAAAGAGACTAAGTCCACACTTGAATCTATTTTGGACCCAAGTACAAACCTGAACAGTTAACATTTATTCCAATTTATTTTTTCTTTTAATATAGAAAATATATTAGAGCCTTTTTATTGGGTGGCGAATATTCTAGACCTAGTATTTTATTTTTGCGCTAGATAAATTTGGGGTTGTTTTTTACTTGGGTTTGTTCATGTCATAGAGCATCCACAATGTATTAAGTCTCTTAATGAAATATCATATGACTTAGTCTATAAAAAAATGTCACCCAATGCAATTAAAAGTGGACATGGTCTAACTTACGTGACAATAAAAAAAAGGAGACCAAGTCCACTCTGGGTCTATTTTGGACCCAAGTACAAAACATGAACACTCAATATTTATTCCTAATTTAATTTTTTCTTTTAATAAAGGAAACACATTAGAACATTTTTATTGGTTGACAAGTATTCTAGATCTATTATTTTATTTTTGCACTGAATAACTTTTGAGTTTTTTTACTTGAGTTTGTCCATTTAGAACTTAAATCCATTTATATACCACTACCACATATGTAAAATTAGACTTAATGCATTGTGAGTGTTCTTCAGTAAAATTAGACCAAATGCATTGCGTGTTCTTAGTAAATCAGGCCTAATTGTTTTTATCCATTTTAAATATGAGAAAAATTAACGAAGTTAGTTTGAAAGTTAATTAAGGCCTGATTTAGCTTTTAAATTTCAGCTATTTTATTAGTACAACTCACTTGGTCAAGGGCTTGGCTAAAGTGGCATTTTCCAATATTATTTACTTTTAATGAATTATCAATTATGTAATGGTTTTGGATATTGTATCGCATATTATATTCATATTACATGCTGAAGCAACGGAAAGAAGAAATACTTTTCCACATTCACAATATGGTCCATATCTAATAATACGTCTTCTCCCGTTCCCGTGTTTTGTCGCTTGAAAAATTTTGAACATTCTATTCCGCGTGTTGTACTGGTCCAATTCCCTCGTCTGAACCAAAAACGCTAGGCACAATTTGATAAAAGGAAAGCACCATAACTAACGTTTTCAGTTGTAATAGCATTTTACCGCACGAAATGAATCTGGAGCGCCTTTGTACGTAAAAACCGTCTACCCCTTCATTCCTAGATCCGTGCCCCCTTACCCCACCCCACCCCACCCCAACTCCGTCACCCCATTTTCTTCGTAGTGTTCAGCTTCATTTCAAACTTTTCGCCTTTCGCTTTACCAATTTAAATAACAAAACGATCGATTATCGCGAGGCTTCAATTTCTCCTCTTGAAATTCCGGCATTTTGTGTGCTTTTGAATTAAAGGATAAAGTGNTGTTATAGTATCTATCTGCTCACATTTAGTCTCCTTGGCATATTTATTGTGTTTGCTGTAGCCTTGGGTTTGTGGTTATGTGCTATGCCGTGTTCTGTTCTAAACAGTTGTGCTTACATATGGGTTATGTGGGTAGTTGAGTTTTTATTGGTGTTCTTTCTGTGTTGTTTTGATTAGCTTAGCTTAAATGTATTGTGTTCATTAGGTGGCATTCGGTCGTCTACTTGTAGTCACATTTTTCTCTATTATTTGGTTCGAAATGTGTGCAAACCTTTGTCTAGTTTATCCAATGAACAGATGAGGATATTGGTTTCCCAGTGTGTTGAATTTTGGTTAGGAGTAGTTTTGGAATGACATCCATCATTGTTGACCTTTCAGGAGATGTCTCGGGTGGAGGACTTGTGGGAGCGGCTGGTGCGCGCAGCTCTACGTGGACGAATAGCTGGTGGGGATTTGTATGGACGTCCTGAGACTGACCTAGCTGCCACTGTTCCTTCTTCACTTGGAAACAGAGACATAGATGACATTCTGCGGGCTGCGGACGAAATCCAAGATGAAGATCCCAATGTGTCCAGAATCCGTATGTACCTTTCCTCTGTCTTTTTCTTTGTGTGTGTGCATTAGTTGGTATTGTGATCTGATTTTTGATTGTTGGGCAGTCCTAAATTTTAGGAGCTTCTTACTTTTAATTTAGTTATATATTTATATATTGTCAGTTTTAATTTTTAAAAAGAATATTTTGTTAGTTTTCGTAGGACAAATGCAGTTATCCTACCCTGACTGAACTGCAATAAATTAATCTGGGTATTGCCCGTTAGGGACTTTCCTTATTCTGCCACTGGCATATTATGTCAAGATAGGATTTAGAAATAGATGAACACTTTTAGTATCATGTTAGGGACTTTCTTTGTTCTGCCATTTAGTAATCCAGATAGTGGCATACTAGGCTCTAGTTTGAGCTTGTATTTTCAAAAGATGATCTAATCAGTTTTCTCCAGGAGATAACTGATCTTACAGAATGGACAGATTTATTTTCCATCAAATGTGGATGGACTGTTGATCTGATTAAATATGCGAGTCTCCGATCTCTTCATGTGAGCATTGACTATGCAATGTATTCTAATCTGCCTGTGTCAATTTGTACATTCTTGAAAATACTGGTGGGCTTGCGAGTTGCCAGTGCCATTGAATGGGCCCTATGATTAACATGCCATTGTATGGGCGCTATGATTAACAGGACTCCTTGCCCAAACTCATTTAGTTTTTGTGGTGGGATAGCAGTGGCAGCTTGATTCTTTGTCTGTTTTCCTTACTCTGTTGTCTTTGTTATGGCAGTATGCGAGCATGCTTATTCATTGGCCCAAAATCTGGATCCTAATAGTGAAGGAAGGGGTGTATTGCAGTTTAAGACTGGTTTGATGTCTGTCATCAAGGTATCTTAATTGTGATATTTCTTGTATTTGAACCGTTCATGACTCATTTTGTCCATTTCATTGGTGCAATGGAAAAAACATTTACTTAATGCATACTAGAATTCCTTTTTATCCCTTTTTCTTGTGACATGGTCAGTATATTAATTGATTTGGATATCTATTTGTAGTTGTATTTGTGGAATTTTTGTAAAATTATTAATGTAAATTACGCTTTCTCGCAGCAAAAGCTGGCGAAGAGGGAGGGTGGAAGCATCGATAGAAGCCAAGATATTGCTCGCTTACGGGAGTTCTATAAGCTATATAGGGAAAAGCAAAATGTGGATCAGCTCCGAGAAGAGGAGATGAAGTTGAGGGAGTCTGGGATCTTCAGTGGTAACCTTGGAGAGTAGGTTCCTAAACTAGGTTCTGGTGTGTCTTAAATGTCAATTAGTTGATGCCACTGGGCTTGTACCTCTGCAAATCATAAGTGGACTGGCTTAGGATAATAATATAAAAATGGATTTACATGAATAAATTCTACTGCAATCCTACCCTTGACAATTATGATGTGTTCCTCTTGTAAGGCTGGAGCGTAAAACAGTGAAAAGGAAAAGAGTCTTGGCAACTCTTAAGGTCCTTGGAAATGTTCTAGAACAGCTGACTAAGGAAGTCTCCCCTGAAGAAGCTGAGAGATTAATTCCTGAGGAGGTCAGTATCCCTGCCTTGTTCTTTTTACTTGCTAGGACTCTTTTGTGATTTTGATAGAAAGAATATTTGCAAGTTTAAATAAGTTTGACCGGATGATATCTGGATGCAAAAATAAAGGGAAATTATCTTTTCCCTCTTAACTGCTCGTGGACAGTTCTAAGTGCAAGGTATTGATGCCTGTAGCATGTACCAACGATAGGATCAGTTGTTTTTAAAGCATTCTGCATACTTATAACACTGTTAATGTTTCTTCTTTCTCAGCAGTTCTATCTCTCTCTTTCTCTCCCCTCTCTCTCTGTTTATCCTATATCTTGGTTGTCCCTTATGCTATTTGTCCAATTTGTTCTAACTACAATTTCTAATGGTGTGTTTTACTTTTCAGCTGAAACGTGTAATGGAGTCAGATGCAGCGATGACAGATGATTTAGTTCCCTATAACATAATTCCTTTGGATGCTCCTACTATAACTAATCCTATTGTGTCTTTCCCTGAGGTGATCGGGCTCAAATTCTAATGTGATATTTTTTCTTATCTTGCTCCTTTCATGGTTAACTGGTTTATATGTACATCAGGTTAGAGCTGCGGTTTCTTCATTGAAGTATTTCAGGGGCCTTCCTAAGTTACCTGGAACTTTTCCTATACCGGCTTCAAGGGCGTTAGACATATTTGACTTCTTGCAGTATTCATTTGGCTTTCAGGTTAGTTCGCAATTGGAAGTTAAAGAGACTGAAGTTTTGATTATTTTAACGTGTAGTTTCACCCATCTGTCTCTACTCTCTAACTTATTTCCAATAGTTCAGCTAAGATTTGTGCAATGCTGGCTAAATCTTTAAGCTTGCATTTTAGTCATAATAATTCTTCTCTAGTACTTTGAGGGTGCAATCTAATTTTTATGGACGTGAGGATTTTTTTTTTTTACTTATTGAAGTTTCTATTCCTCATATAAACATTTAGCATCTGGCCCCTTTTTTTCTGTCTTTATGGTTTGTTTTGTAGAAAGACAACGTTTCAAATCAGCGAGAGCATGTCGTTCATCTCCTTACAAATGAGCAAAGTAGACTTCGTATTCCTGAAGAACCTGAGGCGGTAGGTCTTTTCATCATGTATTGAGTTGATTTTCATGGAGCCTGTGCATACGTAAGGTTGTTTTATGCATGCAGTTGCTTCGTGACGCAATGTTTGTTGTTATTAATATATTGGAGTGGAGCATGGGAATTATCACGTCTTGCTTTTTATTTTTTATTTCTAAATAAGTGAAGGGATACTGTGACTTTTNTTTTTTTTTTTTTTTTGTTTTTTGTTTTTCTGATTATGAATTTCTCTTCATGTTGGTGCTGTGTAATAGTAACTACAAGATTGCATTTGTACTTCCAGTCTTGTGTTCTCTGCTTTCCAGAAATTTGACCAATTGTTGGTTTTACGTCTTCCTGAAACAACTTTTGTTTATTGTTTGATTATGAGATCCTTTGTGATGGGTTTCATCTAGGCAAATGTAATATGATATTTATGTTGAAATTTTCTTTTCATGTCACTGGGAATAGTGGTTTTGACTGGTTCTATTTAGTGGCGAATGGTCACTAATTTGCATATTCTAATACATCGTAGATTGATCGGTTGTTATTTCACCAAGATTTTTGAAATTAAAATATTTGTAAGCGATAGTTTAACTTTGTCATATCCTATCATAAACTTCTACAAAGATCTTGCAATAAGCTGTAAATGAAGAATATAATTCTGATTAATATTTATAAACAATAAACACAATGTAAAGTTAAGACCTCAAAGGTCGTTTTTGGAGATTTTCCACATTGAGTTACTTATGGTTAGTTTTCAGATATTAGACGAAGCTGCTGTGCAAAGGGTATTTTTGAAGTCCCTCGACAACTATATCAAGTGGTGTAACTATTTGGGGATCTTACCAGTGTGGAGCAAGTATGTGACTTTCTTTCAGCAGTTCTTTGCACTGTTAATTGAATAACTGTGAATACAGAACCTTACAAGCGTTGTGCTATTTCTTAAAGTGTAATTTACATTTGACTTTCTACTATTGCTTGTACTTTTGCAGCTTGGAAGCTGTGAGCAAAGAGAAGAAGTTAATGCTTGTTTCGCTCTACTACTTGATATGGGGTGAAGCAGCAAATGTCCGATTTCTTCCAGAATGCTTATGCTACATATTTCATCATGTATGTAGCCTTGATATTTGTTATCTCCAGAATTGATATTTGCGGTAGGGTTGGGTACTTGATTTATGACTATAGCTTGGATATATACTCCTATATTTGACATCCCTAAAATACCTTTATCTGAATTCTTAATTTTCCATTACACTTGTAGCATATAATAAGGTTTCACTAAAAAGAAATCTTGAATTTCGTTTCATTTCAACATCAACAATTTTGTGGGGGTTCTTTTTTCCGTCATTGTATTATTTCCTCATGTTGGGATACAGATTTAGAAATTTGAATGGAAGTGTTGTTGCCTTGGCAGGTGGAGGTTAAGCTTTAGTGTTTGCTGTTAGGCAAAAGTTTACTGTTGGTTCAAATGTTAGCTTAGTTTTGTTCTTGTTGTACATCCTTCTTTTGAAGGAGTAACTATTGCATTCTATATTTTCTCCTGAAGGGCTTGTATTTTCCTGGTCTAGATAATGCTTTAGCTATAACCCATAAGAGCTATCTCCTACTTGTAACAATTTATGTATTCCGTAGATGGGAAGGGAGCTCGAAGAGTTATTACGAAACCAGGTTGCTCAACCAGCCAATAGTTGTGTTTGCGAGTCTGGAGTATCATTTATCGACCAAGTTATAAGTCCTCTTTATGAGGTTATTTCTGCGGTATGTCCTAGTACTGAATTCCTGTTCTCTTGTTTTTTTAATAATTTTTCAATACCAGATTTTTTTTAGCTAATGTCATTTCATCTCATTTCATTTGTTTATTTAATTTTTTTCAAAAATGCGGAAGAAAGGTATACATCTCTTATAATTGGATTTTGTTGTGTTATCACAAGGAAACTGCGAACAATGATAATGGGCGTGCACCTCATTCAGCCTGGAGAAATTATGACGACTTCAATGAATATTTTTGGTAAGCTGTATATGACTATTATTTTTTGCATCTAATTTTATCATAGTTTTAAAATTTGCAGCGTAGTTAATGTATTCTTACATATGACTTAATTAACGTGGTTCGTTTAAAGGTCACTGCACTGCTTTGAACTTAGTTGGCCATGGCGCAAGAGTTCTCCTTTCTTTATCAAGCCAACACCGAGGTCAAAGGTATAGCAAATTGAAAATTTTTGGTTTTCCAAACTACAGTATCTCCAATTTGGATCTTGCATATTTTTCAGGAATTACCTATGTGGCATGCATTTACTTTTTTTATTCACTACTTGTTAGAAAATTTGTCGATTAATTTCATGGGGGAACATGTTTGATTAGGTAACTGTTACTGTACTTGCTCATAGGTTAGGTGGATGGGTACAGTGAAAAAGACCAGATATGTTGATTTAACGCCGATAAGATTATCAACTTGTGTATAATTCTGGAGAAGGAAAGTGCTTATTTTGACAAGTACTTCGTTCATGTCCTTGTTAATACTTATTTCCTTGTGGCTTATTCCATAAGGATGTAAGGAGTTACTGACAAATAAAATTATGAGCAGCACTATATCTGGGATTTCTGATCCACATTTAGTGTTGGCACTTGGAAGTAGTGTTTTTGTCAATGTTTCAGGCATGGGATGAAGAGAAACTTTTTTTTCCTGCTCCTTTATCTTTTCTAGATAGATTCATGTATGTTTTCTTTTTTCCATTTGCAGAATGTTCTAAAATCTAGTGGAGGCAAACGCTGTGGAAAAACCTCCTTTGTCGAACATAGGACATTTCTTCATCTCTATCACAGTTTTCATCGTCTGTGGATATTTCTTCTGATGATGTTTCAGGTTTGCTAGTCACATCATATGAATATTGTATACCCTGGGAAGTATGTAGTTTCTTCAAACTCTATTTAACCCGTTTTTCTTCTTCAGGCACTTACCATCATTGCTTTCAACAGAGGTCGTTTCAACTCCAAGACCATCCGAGAAGTTCTTAGTGTTGGACCAACATACTTTGTGATGAAATTCTTTGAAAGTAATAGACCTGTTCTTTTTTCATCGTAAGTATTTGTATCCACCAAAGGTTGGTTTGCCTATTGTCACTTATCTCTGTGTATTTTGTGCCTTTTAGGTGTTCTGGACATTATAATGATGTATGGAGCATACTCTACCTCAAGGCGCCTGGCTGTTACCAGAATTTTTCTTCGCTTTCTCGTCTACAGCTTGGCTTCAGTTTTCATATGTTTCCTTTATGTGTATGTACATTTGTCTTATTGCTATCGCATCCTTCTCCTTCTGTTTTTTCCCTTCACTTTATTGCTATAGATGGAGCTTTTTTGACCTTTTATTCCGAATAATTTCAGGAGAGCACTTCAAGAGAGTAGCGGCAACAGCACTTCAGTAATCTATAGATTATATGTCATTGTTCTCGCCATCTTTGCTGGTGCAAAATTCTTTTTGAGTTTCTTGTTGCGCATACCAGCATGTCACCGCATGTCCAATCAGTTTGATAGTTGGCAGCTGGTTCGTTTTATTAAGTGGATGCATCAGGTTAGAATAATTATAAAGTTTTGAGTTGCATAATGATTTTTCACTTGTTCCATTAGTCTAAATAACAAAGAATGAACTGATATGTTATGCTTATGCATCTGTTTCATCTGTCCTAGGAACATTACTATGTTGGCCGTGGCATGTATGAAAGAGCATCAGATTTCACAAAGTAATCAGCTGATCCTTTGTTGTTGAAATATTGTTATTTATTTTGTATAAGGGCTTTTGCTGGTATATGTCTCCATCTACTGTTCCTTGTCTTTAACTCTTCCTAATTTATTTTCTTCAAATAAGGGCGAGTAAAGTTCACTAACAGGCTAAACATTGCTTTATTATGGAAGGAATTTAGAATATGAAGGTTATCAATAATTATTTCACCGTTTGATATGAGGAAATTTGGTATTACTTGTCTTTCTTTATTCTTCCATATGGATTGTAGTATAAAGTACTAGATACTGGGTAGTACTTTGCAAGTGTCTCTGCTCTCTCTCTCTCTCTCTCACTCACTCACTCTCTGTCTCTTTCTATCTTTCTCTTCGTTTTGTTCTTTTCAAATTGTAACCTTTTTTCTTCTTAGTTCTTACATATAGGTTATATCTCTAACGTGTTCACTCGTTAATTTCGAATAAACATGCTTCTAATAAAATAATAATAATATCTTTCAAACCTTTTAATTTTTGAGAAAACAATAAATTTTGATTCGTCTTACTGTGCTGACGTCTTCGATTGTAATAGTGTAATCAAAGTACTTTTGAAATTGTAACAGAAATCGTAAAATATCTTATTTATGTGAATGAGTTGATAGTTACCCACAAGAGAGTAACTTACATATTTATATTTAGGATTCGAGGAATTATATACTGCCAATTGATGAGCACAGCATGAATCCTCATCAAGTTAAGCTTAAGTTTTTTACTTTGCTAGTTACTAGTCTAATGCAGATGTATGGTCTTCTTGTCGTGTAATACAGGTACATGATCTTCTGGTTTGTGGTGCTTGGATGTAAATTCGCTTTTGCTTATTTCCTTCTGGCAAGTGCTGTAATTTTTATGTCATTTAAGTATGCTGATTATTTTATCACTTCCAGTGTTATAAAATGTCAGCCATGGCAGTATGACGTGGCGAATTTCTGACAAACCGCCATGCAAAATTTGTGAAGCATGGTGGTGCCATACGCTGCTATGGCGGGATTTTGGCCTGCCGTTGTTTACCGCCACCCACTATTAATAACACTGATCAGTTCCGTACTCCCTGCTTCCACTAAGATAGGCTTGGAGAAAAAAGTACAAAGATCAAGAAAACACAATAAATGTGTTTCGTAATGTAATATCTTTTGTTTTTATTCAATTTTTCAATGCAATATCTACATTAGATTTTAGAATTAAGTTTTCAACTAATTAAATCAAATAGATAAAAAAAATAAGCAACGGAGCATTAGTCCTTTGTCGTTTCATTAGTAATGATACTACTAAAAAGAAACATTCCTATAATTTGGAATGCACAAAAAAGGAATACAAGCCTATCTTAGGTTGATGGAGGGAGTTCGAATGGGCTATTTAAGTTGTTATGCTCAATTGAGTCTTGTGCCTCATGTTGCAGATAAGGCCTTTGGCTGGACCTACACGAACAATAGTCAACATGGATATCAGACTATATTCTTGGCATGATTTTGTATCCAAAAGTAAGCCACAACTTTTATGCGTTTTGAATTTCTTAGTACTTTCCATTCATATTTTGTGTTGCGTTTTTTTATTTTCTAATCTAGTAATTTTTTGTTTTATCCTGATATCCTTTCATGCATGCAATTTTTAGTTGGTAAATTGCTATTTTCTCTTGTAGATAATCACAATGCTTTGACCATAGTAAGCTTATGGGCGCCTGTGCTGGCTGTAAGTATGCTTTTGATATTCTTGTAACTGTTTCCTTTTCTATTTTTTTGGTCTGCTTCCTGCTTTTGAGCCTCAGAAACCGACAATTCCTGTTACTGCATACTTTTAGCGTGTTTTGGTATCTTATCCTGTAGAAAAAAAAATAGAAGAAAAATGTGGAAGAAAAGTAGCGAGAATAATTCATTTTTCTTAGTATTTAATTATTACTACTATGACTTACATCAAGCCTTTAAATAGAAAAGTGCTAGGTTTAACTGTTTGGTTTAAGGACCAGAATCAGTAATGAAATAGAAAAGAAAGGAAAAACTTCAAGAATGAAACATCACAAATATATGAAGAAACCACACTCTAAAAACCGGAGAAATCAAATCATAATCCTGATTCCATGTCTTAGTTGGACATTGAAAGAAGAGGAGTTGTGAATGTTTTGCTTGAGAAAGAATCTCAACAAGTATACTCTTATATATAAATTGTACAAAAAATATCACATAATTATAGGGATTGAAATAAGAAATTACAATGTATCAATGTCCCTAGTTATAAACTACTTATTATAAGGGTGAAAGAAACTATCCAATCATATCTCAAAGCACTTCCCGTCTCAAGCTGGTCCATAAATGTGACAAGGATCCAGCTTGCTACATATGTAAGATATTCGTGGACATTTAGGAGACTTCGTGAAAACATATTTATTGATCATTATAATTCACAAGAGATGCAATAATCTCTTCAAAAGAATCTTCTTATGGATGAAATGGCAATCAACTTCGATATGCTTAGTTTTTTCGTGGAACATGGGGTTAGATGAAATGTGTAAGGCTGCTTCATTATCACGAATGAGAGTCATGGCTTGTAATTTGCAGAACTTCAATTCGCTTAGAAGTTTAAACCAAATAAGAAGTTCACACGTCGTAAGAGCCATGGGACAATACTCTACCTTGGCATTGGATCTAACAAAAATATTTTTCTTACTTTTCCAAGAAATATGATTGCCCCCAAACCATAAGCCGATTGTAAATCATGTGGGGCCCTGTGTAATCCACGTGTGCATATGCAACAATATTTAGGTGGCCTATATTCTCATATACTAACCCTCTTCTCAGAGATGCCTTATGTAATGTAAGATTCATACCACAACTTCCCAATCCACGAGGAGAATTAAAAAATTGATTCATGACAGTAGCAATAAAGGATATGTCAGGCGTAGTCGTATGCTCTTTGCTGATGATGTGGTGCTAGTTGACGAGAGTAGGGCAGGGGTAAATAGGAAGTTAGAGCTGTGGAAGGCACGTTAGAGTCGAAAGGCTTCAGACTTAGTAGGACGAAGACCGAGTACATGACGTGCGCTTTCAGGTGACGTTAGCCTTGACGGGCAAGTGGTGGCCAAGAAGGAGACTTTCCGGTATTTAGGATCGATGCTACAAAAGGATGACGGCATTGATGTTGATGTTAGGCATAGAATTGCAACCGGTTGGTTGAAATGACGTCAAACTTCGGGCGTTCTCTATGATAAGAGGGTACCGCAAAAGGCTAAAAGGTAAGTTCTATAGGACGACGATTCGCCCGGCGATGCTATACGTGCTGAATGTTGGTCTACGAAAAAGAAACATGTCCAACAACTAAGTGTAGCAGAGATGCGTATGTTGTGTTGGTTCTGCGGGCACACAAGAAGGGATAGAATCCGGAATGAGGATATTCGAGATAGGGTAGGAATGTCTCCAATTGAGGAGAAATTGGTTCAACATCGGCTGAGGTGGTTCGGACATGTCCAACGAAGTCCTCACAGCGGGTCGATGATGTAAAGAGAGGTAGAGGTCGGCCTAAACTCACTTGAGAAGAGTCGGTTAAGAGAGACCTTAAAGATTGGAACATCTCCAAGGATTTAGCGGTGGATAGGAGCGCTTGGAGGCTAGCAATCAACGTGCCAGAACCGTGACTTTGCTCTTTTCTCTTTTTGCTCCAATCTCTTCCTTTTGTTTTGAGCCCTTTTTGTGTTTCTCTTACCATTGGTTCTCTTGGGTTTCATCTCTAGCCTACCCCAAGCAAGTTGAGACTAAAAGGCTATGTTGTTGTTGTTGTTGTTGGCCAAGAGCAATGAGGTCCTTCTGATTCGACATAAGTTTTATATTTAAATCCATACGGGCATCAATGAGCTTACATCGAGCATACCAGTCTCTTCCAATATATCAAGAGCATATCTTCTTTTAGAGATGGCAATTCCGGATTTTGACTGAGCTACATTAATACCAATGATATATTTTAGTCGGCCCGTTTCTTTGGTTTGAAAGTGTTGAAAGAAATGTTGTTTCAGGCGTTGGACACCACCGATGATCTATCACCTGTTACAGTGTCGTCTATGTAAATGCACTGATTAGTTGAATGGTTATAGATTGCTCAATGGCCAGCTTCACAATGAATCATACCAGACTCCTGAAGAATTGTAAATCTCCCAAATCAAGCTTGAAGACTTTGCTTGAGACCATATATGCCTTTATGCAATCAACAATCAAAGACTTTTGACTCTCCTTGAGCAACAAACCCAAGTGGTTGCTTAGTATAAACCTCTTTGGCCAAATTACCATGGAGAAAAACATTTTTATTATCTAACAGATACAGCTGTCAATGGCGCATCGCAACCATGGATAGAATAAGATGAATAAATGTCATCTTAGCTATTGAGGGAAATGTATCATTGTAATCAAGACCAAATATCTAAGTGTAACCTAGTATTAGGACCCAATATGACTGTAAACTAACTGCTGATTTCTCAGGTGGTATGGAATCAAAAGGCCATGTTTGGTTAGATTCCAGGGTTTTCATCTTGTCAATCATAGCCTGCGGCCACGTCGGGTGAGGAAGTGCTTTCTGAACGGTCTTAGATAGCAATAGAAGAAATAGCAGAAACATAAGCATATCGCCTACACAGTATGCAATGACAGCGCAAGAAATTATAGATAAGACAGATTAGAAGTGCAGCGCTGATCTTTGCAAAGAGCTATCGGAAAATCTATCATGGTTCAGGTAGGAGCGCAGCCAATACTGAGTTTGGAACAGGACTACAGGAGATGTAGCACGTCTCTCATTGGTAGTAATCTCTTAAAAAGGTGGTTGATGGGTGCAACATTGATGACTAATTAAAGGTTGGGTAGACTGATCGGGAGGTTTAGATGTAGTTGAAGAAATTGATCATTCGGTATCAACTGGGGTGAAAGGAATTGTGAATACGTGAACGATAGATTCTTGTGTGTGTGTGTGTGTGTGTTGGTGAAGACTAAAGGATGGAGTGTCCTCAAAGAAGGTGACATCTGTTGATATATAGATATATAGAAGTATTTTTTGAAGGAGAATAAGGCAGATGGATTTAATAAACAAGCCTTTAATTTATTGAGACCAGGAGTAAGATCATGAACAATAGTATCAATTTATGACGGGGCATTAGGTTTTGTCAGAATTTGGCTTCTGGATTCAAAATCTTTATGAAGACCATGAAGAATGAATGCCATACACATTTGATCGAGTTAGGTTGTCGTCTTAGTGAGTTTATCACAAAGTAAGAGCTTTTTGACTTCATCGTTTGTAGACTGAGCTTTGTTCAAATAAGAAGGAAGATCTTGATCTATCATCTGTTATCTGGCCAAGTTATAAATGGCATCATTAATGCATTGAATATCATTTGAGTACACGTTCCGAGGGTTCTTCTGCATGTCAAAGGAGGACATATAGGTACACATGTGGACCATCAGTTTAGGATCAAGAGACTGTCACAATATGGAAACTAACTGATAATCAACTTCTATCCATTTTTCACGCTTTGAGGTATCATCAATCTGTTCAGATTTCTTTTCCAAGTGGTCATAAAACCTTGACCCCAAAATCAAATTTCCACGGCATTTTGCCAATCTACATAATTTTTCCCGTTAAGCTTTTCAAAAGTAATGGTGGGAGGACTTGTAAAAGTGGGAAACATTGTGTGGCCCTACTATTTACTGAAACAGAAGCAGGCCAGAGGTCATTTTGGTAGGTGTTTTCATNCTGAAATACCTCCAACGAGTGATGGGGTTGAAGAAATGACCACAGATACAGAGAGAGAAGGTGCCACAGAGCTTAACATGGCTGGTGGTGAGGTCGCCGGAGCTCTGGATGGTGGTGTGTGGATTTGACACCTATTTGGAAACCCGCGTGTGAGCTAGAAGAAGGCAGCGAGTATCTGGCGTGTGGCTGATACGACACCGGCAAACCTGTCAGTGGGGCATGTGACCTTCTTCGAGCTGTCAGAACTTGAGTTCAGATGGGAGTAACTAAACTATGGTTCTTTTTTCTATTATTATGGTCGCTGATATTCTGATACATGATAGATGAGAGAAGAAATGAAACACATCAGGCCCACAGATCGTGGGCTCTGATACCATCTTGAAAAGAGGAGTCAGACGTTGAAAGAAGAGAAGAGTTGTGAATGTTTTGGTTGAGAAAGTCGCTCAGCTTTATACTAATATATAGGCAACTCATACAGACAATATCCCATAATTATAGGGATTAAATAAGAAATTACAATAATCAGTTTCCCTTACTGTAAACTACTAATGTAAGAAAATTAAAGAAAGTATCTTATCATATCTCAACACTATGAAATCAAACCTCCCAACTTTCCACTTGCTTCATGCTGCAGATTTACCTGATGGATATCCATCTATTCTACACCATCATATCTGCTATATGGGGTTTCCTGTTGGGCGCCAGAGATCGTCTTGGAGAGGTAATGCATTTTATTGTACAGCTTCTGTGTTTCAGGTTTCTTAGTTAAACTTTTAACCATTTAGGTGTGTATGAAATATATGCCTATGTTCTTACCATGTCTGCAGGGTATGTAAATGTTTTTGTTATTGGACTAGTATGACAATAGAGGAGTTATATTTGAACTCCTTTTCCCTTCCAACATTCAAACTTCCTTTCCTTGATCCTCAGATTAGGTCATTGGATGCTGTTCATCAACTTTTTGAGAAATTCCCAGCAGCTTTCATGAATACCCTGCACATACCACTTCCTAGCAGGTTCTCTCTTCTAATGGAATTTTTATTCGTGATTATGAGAACAGTGGGAAAATCTGTTTGAAGATCTACCTGTTCCACTTACATGTTGTTTTCTAATTAAATTTAGTGCTAGTTTCTGCAGGGATTCTCTGCAGCCATCTGGTCAGGTTAGTGAGATGCACCTCATGAGATCTAGTAGGCCCTTTTATAATCTAATGATACTTTAGGGTAGTAAAGGCATTAATTTTTTTTTTTTAATTTTTTTATTTTTCAAAAAAACAAATACGAGAAGATTAACCACCGATCCCCAACAATACAGATGACAATCTCCTCAGTGTTGTTTTTGGAATTTGTATACAAGGACTGGGGATGAGTTTTAATGTTTTAAATCCTTGGATATTGGATACCATATTGGATTGGTGCTAGTTCCATTGTTTAGAAAATGATAGAATTTAGCTAAATATGATGAAAGTCTGTCAAAAAACTAATTTGTATTTTTATATATTTGAACTTTATATTTTTGAAATACAGGATTCAATTTTGAGAAAGTCCTTCAATTTGAATTATATTCAGCTCCCTTTTGATTTTATTCGATCATACAATATTTGGTATCAATTTTACGTCATTCGGTTGTGTCTCAATCTCATGCAACCAACGCGTTTATGTCTGCAAGGATGTGGAAAAGGACAAAATTGATGCTGCTCAGTTTGCCCCCTTTTGGAACGAAATCGTAAAGAATCTGAGGGAGGAGGACTATATCAGTAATCAGTGAGTTCCACTAGTGCAGCTTTTGCAGACTCTGTTACTGTATTTCCTCAAATTATTTTAAGTTGCTTAAATCTCAATTTACACGTGGCATTACTATGTTGAAATGTAGGGAAATGGAGTTGCTTCTGATGCCTAAAAATTCAGGAAGTCTTCCACTAGTCCAGTGGCCGCTTTTTCTTCTAGTGAGCAAGGTGTGTTGATGACTTGATGTCGCTGATTGTGAAGTTATTTCTTGTTTTATTCTCCTTTTGCTGTTTATCTGATGTACATGTCACTGTGTGAATTACCAAATGATGCAGATTTTCCTGGCAAAAGATATTGCTGTGGAGAACAGAGAGTCGCAGGAAGAGCTGTGGGATAGAATTTCAAGGGATGATTACATGAAATATGCTGTTGAGGAGTGTTTTTTCAGTGTCAAATATATACTTACAGCAATATTAGATGATGAAGGAAATAATGAAGGAAAGAAGTGGTAAAATTATCTAATATACTTGAAAATTATCACCCCCCTCCCCCCCACCAAGTTTTTTCAACTCTAATCGATTTTTTTCTGGTTTTTTTGGACATTAGATTCATTTGTAGCTTATGCTTGATATCACCGAGAATAATTATAATACCTATTCAAACATGCCAGGGTTGAAAGAATATATGAAGATATCCGAGGAAGCATAGTGAACAGAAGTATTCATGTTGACTTTCGGCTAAATAAACTGCCTCTTGTTATTCAGAAAGTGACAGCACTACTGGGAATACTGGTTCGTAGTAATTGGATATGCCCTTGACAATTGACCCTCTTATCAAATATGATGTTAGTTGATACTGTTGTAGGAAAGGATGTTATTTTCTTATCACAGTTTCAGCAACCATGAAAACCTTGCATGTTTCGTATACTTTCTTTTTCTGTCGCTGTGTTGAAATTGTGCCTTTCTTGACTTTCTATGTTGGAGAGGGTTGGCAGTGGATGACACAACATTACAGCAAGATATGAACGCAACATGATTACGATGGACACATAAGATAAGACACGACAGCGTGAAATGATATGAAAACATGTAATTGAAAATTTAGGATAATTTAGATCTGTTGTAATATTAATGATCAACAAGCTAGATAACATGAAAACAAGATAGTGAGAATGATCAAGCTACACAACATGTAAATAAGATTGTGAGAAGCCAACACAACACAATGACCCAAAAGGGATATGATGGCTAGAATGTTTTCTTGCATGTATTTTTAACTGCGGTCAGTTTCTTCTGCTAGTGATTTATCTGCGGACTCTTATAGCAGAAGGTTTTTAGAAAGATCTTTTGACTTTGTACTTTATTCGCTGTAAAAAAGAATCTTGAACTGTAGGCGGATGGTTAGTTCTTTCACTATAAACTGCACATAAGCTCACGAGTAATTCAGTATGATATGGAATTGTTTCCCAGTAGGGTATAAGTTGGAAATTTCAGATGCTTCTGAAATTGTTTGGCTATGTCGGCTTCTTTGTGGTGGCTTGGAATAATTATATTTGTTTTCCCAAATTGATTGGAAAATCATTGGTTAATTTCTGTATGCAGAAAAAGGATCAAACACCTGAACTCGAAACCGGTGCAGTGAAAGCTATTTTAGATCTTTATGATGTTATGCGACATGATGTTCTATCAATTAACATGAGGTTTGTGCATCTTTTTTTAGATTCTGTTGGCATTTACTCCTCTGGCTTCTACATCAGAACTGTTCAATCTTGTGCAGAGATAATTATGAGACATGGAATATGCTTTCAAAAGCGAGGACTGAAGGTCGTCTCTTTCAAAATTTGAAGTGGCCTACAGATGCTGAGCTGGTTTGATCTGTTTACATATATAGTTTCTTTGCCTATATGTCTGTCCATCAAATCTTTGCAAGAGCTAAATTGTGCAAACTTGTTCAGAAAGCACAAGTCAGCCGATTGTATTCACTCCTTACCATAAAAGATTCTGGCGCAAATATCCCCAAGAACCTTGAGGCAAGAAGAAGGCTAGAGTTTTTCACTAATTCCTTGTTTATGGAGATGCCTGCCGCTAAGCCTGTCCGAGAGATGCTATCCTTTAGGTAATTGATTCATTCTGACACCAATGGTTTGGGGCAATAACTTATATTGGGTTCTTATATTTATATCCCCTTGTTTGTGCAGTGTGTTCACTCCATATTATTCGGAGATTGTACTTTATAGCATGACTGAACTCCTTAAAAAAAATGAAGATGGCATTTCAACTTTGTTTTATCTTCAGAAGATATATCCAGGTATCACCAGCTTACCAGTCTTATATTTAATGATGGACCTGCTGAATCTGTTCTTTAAGCAGACATTGAGATAATGATTTTCTTAATGTGTTTTATTTTTGTAATATCACATTTTGATATCTTGATTATGTTCAGGCGTGTTCATAGTCGTATTACCTTTTATGAATATATAATGATGTGGTGTAATGAGAATTTAAGAACAATAGTTTCGTTTATGTCTGACATATTTTATATTTTATAGATGAATGGAAAAACTTCCTTGCTCGAATTGGCCGCGATGAAAATGCATCAGAAATGGAACTTGGTGATAATCCTAGTCATATCCTTGAGCTGAGGTTTTGGGCTTCTTACCGAGGGCAGACATTGGCTAGAACGGGTATGGGTCTTAGATTTTGCTTGCCATTCTCAATTGTTTTGTAGTCTAATGGTACAAAGTTTCCTGCCTTTGAAGGCAGTTACCTGTAGTACTTCAATTTTGTTTTCAAATACTAAGAATGGTGCTTTGAGCTTTTAGATTTTCCTTAGCTGTTTTCTGAGTTTGATTGTACAGAAAATGTGCCTTTATGTCACTTTCCAACTGTTTTACGGTCATAATATGCATTACCAGTCCGACAATGATATATTATTTAAGCATTCTTACAAATACCATATTTTAATCCTTATTTTAAACACCTGTGGCATTTTTCTGAAATGCAGGTCTAATCTCACAGCACCATAACATACGTAGTTGGGAATATTAAATTTGAACATTACTTTTTATTGTATCTTCTATATGATTTCCTACTTACATCTTGACTTCACTGAAAGCAGTTCGAGGAATGATGTACTACAGGAAAGCTCTGATGCTTCAAGCATATCTGGAACGGATGTCAGTTGGAGGTCTGAATTTCGAATTAGTAATTACCAATGTATCTTTGGATATTTAGTGATTATACTTACTTCTGAAAGGTCCGGGTTAATTTCAGATTTGGAATCTGGTATTGGCAATCGATCAGCTGATGTTCAAGGTTTTGAGTTGTCTCCGGAAGCAAGAGCTCAAGCGGACCTGAAGTTCACTTACGTTTTAACATGTCAGATATATGGAAAGCAGAAAGAAGAACAGAAACCTGAAGCTGCAGACATTGCTCTGTTAATGCAAAGGTTCTGTAACTCTACCATGTTTTCAGTTTCAAATTGAATGTCATGCTTTACCTCCTATTTTCTGCCGAAGGATTTGTGACTGTTACAGTAATGCTAATTCATTTTAGTTTAGTGAAAAATGTTCCATACATAACTTTAACACATTATTACATATATGAGCCAATATGTTCAAATTGGTGTTGTATTTGTATTTTGTTCTATGAACAATTAATTTAGGTGTTACAATTTCCTTCAACTGGTTAATTTTTGTCTTGTAATTCTTGTTTTCCTCATCCGTATACTATGAACAGAAATGAAGCTCTTCGAGTTGCTTTCATTGACGTGGTTGAAACTATGAAGGATGGGAAAGTGCACACTGAATATTTCTCTAAACTTGTGAAGGCTGATATCAATAAGAAAGACAAGGTTTGAAAAGTTTTTCTTTTCAGTTCTAGTTAGTGCTAGAAAATTCTAAAGCTTAATTGTTGTGCTTGAAAGTGACAGATCATTATTAAGCTTCCCATTCTCAATTGAATTTGGTCAATATATATTACTTTTGTTAAGAAAAAGGAAGAAAGTGAATTAAATTATACTTCTTCAGATTTAATTGCAGTTTGTATGAATACCAGGTTAAACAGAGGATTTATCTGTGTACAAAAAGTTGTATGACACTGGAAATCTGGGAAAAATTTTGAACTTGCTTCTCAGGCTTTGACAGTATGTGTGACCTCTGACCTCCAAACCCCTCATTAGAAAGAAATCTAATTTTCTATTATTATTATTATACTTTATTACCAATCTTTCTGTTTGCCTAAGGCTAAATAGATATTTCATTTTCTGCACAATTTCAGCCTTCTTTCTACCTGTTCCTGTTTTTGATATTACAGTTATCTAACTTAAAGGGAATGTTTTCACACACGTCTTTGGATCTCGATGTGCGTTATGCATTCATATCTATTGCTATTAATTGTTTTTATTTCTGCATTTAAAATCTGATTGTTATATTTTCATCTTTTTTAGGTTTTATTTAATTGAGGACCATTTATGTGTCATATCGTGAAACTTATCATATTGTCTCTTTGTTTGGCTTGTCTAATTTGTCTTCTTCAGATGTCATTGAGTCAGTCCGTCCTGGTATCTAAAATATAATCTGAAATTCGCAGGAAATATATTCAATAAAGCTACCAGGTAATCCTAAACTCGGTGAAGGCAAACCAGAAAATCAGAATCATGCTGTAGTATTCACTCGCGGTAACGCTGTGCAGACAATTGATATGAATCAGGTTTGAATTCTAGGGCTCAGTTAAACATGTCCTATCATCACACTATTGAGTTGTGTAGAAGTAAAACAAAAAAAAAGTGTATGATGGGTATTATGTATAGTTAATTTGTTTGTGGCATTATTTGGCTTGATACTGTGGATTTCCTTTTTCAACTCATGAACGCATAACTGTCCTGTTTCATATTTGCTAATTTTTACTTCCCTCAGGATAATTATTTCGAGGAAGCATTGAAGATAAGAAATCTTCTTGAAGAGTTCAACTGTGATCATGGATTACGTCCACCAACTATTCTTGGTGTCAGGGAGCATGTATTTACTGGAAGGTGTTCTGAATTGACAAAAAAACATATTCAATTGTCTCTCTTCTCCTTTACCATGTCTTAACTCATTCTCTTTTGGATGCAGTGTTTCTTCTCTGGCATACTTTATGTCGAGTCAAGAATCTAGCTTTGTCACGCTTGGTCAGCGTGTTCTGGCAAATCCTCTGAAGTAAGTAATCATTTGCAAATATGTTCTTTTGCAAGATGTGTACGTTTGTAGTGCTGATATTCTGGTCGTCACCAGGGTTCGTATGCATTATGGCCATCCTGATGTCTTTGATAGAGTTTTCCATATCACAAGGGGTGGGATCAGTAAGGCATCTCGTGTAATCAATATTAGTGAAGATATCTTTTCAGGTATTGCTCGCGTTAACTAATCAATCTATGATATGATCTTTGAGTCTTTTGCCATGTGATCTGCAATTAACCTAATCTATTGCATGTGAATTTTTATTTTCAAATAAAGAATTAGCAAAATCTTTGGCTAGCAATAATGAGAATTTTGTGTTTACTCAGTTTGTTTTTTATTTTTCGGCATGCCACCAAGAAGCATAATGTACTTGTAGATAGTATAACACCTGAAATCAGATGACATAACTTAATCATCAGAGTTTCCTATTTCGTCAAAGTACCACTCTTGCATTATACTGAGCTTGTGATGGCTTAATGAATCTTAATCGAAGTCGAGGCATATTAATCTGGAACTGGGAAAATGCAGGTTTCAATTCAACTTTACGCCAGGGAAATGTGACTCACCATGAATATATTCAGGTAAGCTTTAGCATTTCCTGAGAGGCTGAAACGCATCAGCACGGACATCTTTGAGATGCTTAGCTTAACTGAATTTTATATAGGTTGGCAAGGGGCGAGATGTTGGGCTCAATCAAATTGCTCTTTTTGAGGGTAAAGTTGCTGGGGGTAACGGTGAACAAGTTCTTAGTAGGGATGTTTACAGACTTGGTCAGCTCTTTGATTTCTTCAGGATGTTGTCTTTCTACTTCACCACTGTCGGATACTACTTTTGTACCATGGTTAGCTTGTCATGCCATAAGTTTTTCCCTAACATTTTGGTTTATGTTATCTGTTTCTAGTACGTATTCTAAGTTTAGTTGTGTAGAGCAGTGTTTGTATTAGCTTGTCTACAATAGTTGAAGGTGTGTTTTCATATCTCACACTACCATCGAATAACTTTAATTGATTTCTTCATATATACGTGCAGCTGACAGTGCTGACTTTATATGCTTTTCTCTACGGGAGGGTATATCTGGTAAGCATTATGTCACTGTTGTATAATTTTGTTTTCTAGTTATAAGCATCTTTTCTGCAATCCACTTGGTTAGTTAGTTTGTTTAATTCATATTACATAATTTTTTCACTTTTTCTACCTTGAATAAGATAGTCATGACTGAATTTTAAAGGTAATCTGACGTTGTTTTCATTTTTCAAGGCATTATCTGGGGTTGGTGAAACTATACAAGACCGAGCAGATATATTAGGGAATACAGCTCTTAGTGCAACTCTAAATGCGCAGTTCCTGTTCCAGATTGGTATATTCACAGCAGTTCCCATGATTTTAGGCTTCATCTTAGAACAGGGCTTTCTGAGGGTATGTTATAGTGTAACCTAAACTGTTTGTGATATAAGTTCCCCAGACCCACCTCAATCATTCTCTCGTCCTCACTGTAATTCTATGCTGTTCAAGGTGGGATGTATATTAAAGCCTCAGTACTTCGACTTCTGATTTGCTTCTTTCTTGGTGTATCCTGCTTTTCTGTACAGGCTGTGGTTAGCTTTGTCACCATGCAGTTTCAGCTCTGTACAGTCTTCTTCACGTTCTCGTTGGGAACTAGAACGCATTACTTTGGGCGGACTATACTTCATGGTGGTGCAAGGGTATGCCTTACTTTTTTATCCTTTCTTCCTGTATCACCTGAATTACATATAAATTAGAATTGTTTTTTCAGTATCAAGCCACTGGCCGAGGATTTGTGGTTCGCCACATCAAGTTTACTGAAAATTACAGGCTTTACGCGAGAAGTCATTTTGTGAAAGGGTAAGTCCCCCTCCCCACTTTGTCTGTGTGTGTGTATTTGTGTGTCGTGCGGTCGAGTATTAACTTCATGTTGTACTTCAGAATGGAGATTGTGCTGCTATTGGTGATATACCTTGCATATGGATACAATGACGGTGGTGCTTTATCCTATATCCTTCTCACCGTTAGCAGTTGGTTTCTAGCTTTGTCATGGCTGTTTGCCCCATATTTGTTCAACCCGTCTGGATTTGAGTGGCAAAAGTAAGTTGCTCTGTCGAGTGTTGATATGCATATTTTCATGGTTTCAGTATTGCTGATTTAAAATATTCTATATTTTGTAATTAAGGACTGTGGAGGACTTCCAAGATTGGACAAACTGGCTTCTTTACAGAGGTGGAATTGGAGTTAAAGGAGAGGAAAGCTGGGAGGCCTGGTGGGATGAAGAGCTGGTATGACCTGTGATCTTAGTTTAAAATATCATATCATGACGTTGATATGTTCCTTTAAGATTGTCTGGAGAGATTTTTTGTTAAGTTGCTTGTATATATTTTCTTATGACGTTATATATTCTTTTTACTGGTTGTGAAATAATTGAAGTACTCTTTGGATAGGAAGTAAAAGTGTGTGACCAGGCAAAAATTTTGAGTAGTTTCAATTTTGGTAATTATTATTATTGTGTTTCTTTGCCACCTGTTTTGCTGCCTAACGTTAATTTGATTTGCAAGCATTGTTTTTGGCACGAACATTTGAGCTCCTTACATGTGTGTACTAACACATTATGTTTTGATGCAGTCTCATCTTCGAACATTCACTGGCAGAGTGATGGAAACCATTCTTAGCCTACGGTTTTTCATGTTCCAGTACGGTATCGTATACAAGCTGCATGTGCAAGGATCGGATACATCACTTACGGTGCAACTTTTATCTTGAGCCAGAAATAGCTTATTAGGGAAAAAATAAAAATTAATTCATTCTGTGTTTTTTTAATTCTTTTTAGTTACCTTTTTTATACAACTCAGCTGTTTGTTAGATGAGAATTGATAAGTAATATTATTATTTCAACTTTCAGGCCTATGGATTTTCATGGGTAGTGTTTGCTGTGATTATACTTCTTTTCAAGGTCAGGTTTTTAGATTTTAAATCTACAATGCAACGAACCTCCTAGCTTCGAAAGTCAAATTTAATCTAAAAATTGCTTTCTCGACTTCCAACAGGTTTTCACCTTCAGTCAGAAAATGTCCGTGAATTTCCAGCTGCTGCTTCGTTTCATTCAAGGTCTCGCGTTTTTACTTGCGGCTGCTGGTTTGGCAGTCGCCATTGTGCTTACTAATCTCACCATCACTGATGTATTTGCTTGTCTCTTAGCTTTTCTCCCCACTGGGTGGGGAATTCTCTCTGTAAGTTTTCTCCCTATCAAAAAGATGAAAGTCACTTTTTTTTTCCTCTTTCTTTCAAACGGCAATAATCCCTACTTATTTGTAGAAAATGAATGCCCTTAAAAATTTAGTCCTTATACACACTCTATCTTCTAGATTGCTTGTGCTTGGAAGCCTTTGGTGAAGAAAATAGGATTGTGGAAGTCCATGCGGTCGATCGCTCGTCTATATGATGCTGCTATGGGGATTGTTATTTTCATCCCAATTGCTTTGTGCTCGTGGTTCCCATTTGTGTCGACTTTCCAAACAAGGCTCATGTTCAACCAAGCTTTCAGTCGGGGTCTCGAAATTTCTCTTATCCTTGCTGGGAACAACCCCAACACTGGCATATGATCATCATATTGGTTTGTATATACAAAGTACAAGTTCCTCTTTCTTCCTTTTCCTTTTCCTTTTCCTTTTCCTTTTTTTTTTTTTTTTTTCGTGCTTACGTGAAAACATGGTTAACNTTGTTGGTTGATATTAGTTTTGGTTGCTGTACTGTTTGAACCTTATAGTTTTTGTATCCATCAAATAATTTATTTGTTTTTTGCTAAAATGTCGAATTCCTGTGGCGTAATTTATGCTTTTGCGTATATGTGCCCGTATTCAACATATCCCTCTCCTTTTGAAGTACCACTTGTGAAAATTTAGTAAGGATATTTAACGGGTTCAAACGAATTATCATAAGTGAAGGAAGTAATATTTGCGTTGTACGATGTTTGTAATTAGTCTAATGACTCGGTGAGGGATTGGATATTAGCAGAATTTGATTTTTTATCCACTAAAAGCAACTTACATTAATCTCATTTTTACTTTGAACAACGTGAATTTCTGCAAAGTAAAAATGAGATTAAGAGGTCTCGAATTATATAGGGGTGAGTAGGTAATCACTATTGATCTTTTTAAAATAAAAGGAAAAAAAAAAATTAACTGTATCGATTTATAATGGGTGTTACTATTTATCGCCCCCTATATTACTAGTCACCGTCCCCCTTGGACAATTTTGTCCTTCTCATTTTTTCTAAACATCTCAGAGGAAAGTGTACGGTGAAATGTCGTCAAATTCGGAGGTACGAAAAAATACGTGTACGGTCGCCGGTTCGGACGGGCTAAAAGCCGTCCGGACGCCGGAACCGGACGGACTAAAAGCCGTCCGGACCGGCCGGCCGGACGACAAGTAAACCGGCCGGAAAGCACGGCCGGACGGACCGTTGCTGTCCGAACCGGCCGGCCGGACGGCAAGAAAGCCGTCCGGAAACGACGGCCGGTCGGAACCGGTCCGTCCGGTTCGGCCGGCCGGCCGGAATTTTTTTTTTTTTTTTTTTTTTTTT